GAAAAGTGGCTCAGGCCCTTTGGAGTTCAGTTGCCTCATCTATAAAATGAGGGTCTAGACCAACTGTTCCTTAAGGTTCCTTCAAGTTTTAGAATGTAATTCGTGCATGAGTTCGTGCAAGGTTAATGATACATAAGAACAATGATTTTGTCCTAAGAATTGTGCAATATGTAACTCCTAACTAAATAAAAAGGCTAAGTATAAACACATATCCCTGAAACCAAAAAAAGAGGAAGTCAGAAATTTTGATTTGAAACTGAGTAAAGTTAAATGATAGCTTTCTCTAAAAAAAAAAAAAAAAAAATCTAGCAATCTTAATTTACATAAGCCAGTAAAACCATAAACACACCAGGTGATTCACAGAAGGGAATATTGCATTTGCTATTATTCAGCCATAAAGAATTTATTTTAAATGTAATGGAAATAACAGGTATTTCTAATTCCTGAGCAAATGAAAATTTTGTTTTGTTTATGAATAAGGCCTAATTATAGTTTAATGCTAAATATTTGCCTGAATTAAAAAAAAAATTCCAATGTGGTCTTTAAATGGTCTAATTATGAAATATTAGACCATTTAAAGGAAGAGACTCACCCAAAGTCAACAAGAGAATTGGCTAACAAATTTTAGTTTAACAAAGGTTTCTTGCTCTTTAATATGATTTTCTTCTTGATTTATTGCAGTCAATCTTAATTCACTGTCGATGATTTATCTATCTCTTTTTTTCTTTCAAATTAGTGTCTTCTTTTCCAGATGTTTTGACTACATTGAACATAATTTATGCAATTTATATCTTAAGTCACAGATGCTTTTTTCTGGCCAAGTTTATATAGCTTATTCTGTTTAAGGTAGAGCTGCCTGTGTTGAAGAAAATAAAAATAGATTTTAAAGACATATGATAAAGCTATTAAAGACTATTCTTTGTATACTAGGATATCAGCAACTTGCTATTAGTGAGGCTGGGGGTTGAAAATAGATTTTGCCACTACTGATCATTTTTTAGGATGTTTTTCTATTGAATTTCCCTTATCACCAATGCTCTGCCATTTGTAAAATGACTCATCCTGTTTAGAAGTATGAAATGTAAGCAGAATGAATCTAGTTGGCCCTTATGGATATAATCTTGACTTCATTAACATCACCCTATCAGCAGCTAAACAAATGGGTTGCATTAAAATAAGAAACAATGTAATAAACTGTCAGAGAAAGATGGATTTTAGACAATAAATGCATTCTACTCTGCTCCAAGGCTAAATATTACACCTGGCTCCCTTTAGAATTCTCTAGGAAATAAGAAATTTCCTGCCAGAGCTGAGAATAAGAATTAGACACTAGCTTGTACTTCACTCGAGGTCACCTTCACTTTCCAGAGATCCTGGGCAACAGCTTGAGCCTCTCCTAATCCAATCTAAATTAAATGGTAAAGGTAGCTTTTCAGCTTTCCATTCTGCCCATGGTCTGTGCATTGGATTTGATCCCTTTATAAAATTAGTTTGGATTCCCAACTCATATAGGAGAAGCATTGACGAAGAAGGAAGAGAAGGAAAGGGGGAGGGCCAAATAGTTCATTGCAACACCAGCAATGTTAAAAAGCTTTCAGAGAGTATTGAAAAGCAAACAACCCTGTATCTATACCCCAGTTTGTAAAAATAGTTTATATTACCCATAAATTCTCACATCCAATATCATAGACTCTGAAATTATTTTAACCAAAAGGAAAGTTGGTGCCTCATAGAGCAGGGCAATTTTGTATAAGTTAATATTTAAGATGTGATTTAAAGAGATAGGAAATGGTAATCAGATGTTCTATAACTAATGTCTGCATGACTCTTTATATTATATAAAGTGTTTTTGTATATATTATCTAAAATCTCACTTACTCTTCATAACATGAACAAAGTATGCCTATTCTTCTCCTTTATGAGCTAGGCTATATTTGATATTTTGAACAATAAGAAACTGTATTAATTTGTTTGCTAGGGCTGCCAAAATACTTGACCTATTTGGATTTGACACAATAGATATTGATCACAATTGATCATGGTGCAGGTAGGATTTATCATGAGCAAAGTGGCATTTTAAAATGACTTAAGCCATTATTGACAAATGAAGAAAAGGCCAACTTGAGGCAGGGAAAAGGAGTTAAGGACTACTGTAATGACTGATATGTGTGATGACAAAGCCTGCAGCATAATGAAAAGAATAGATAAAGGGATTAAATGACAATAATTATTAAAAGATATGCTGTCTGGCATGGAGCAGCAGGAGAGCCTCAATATAGTTGTCTTAGATGATTGAATGAATGGTGGTACTCCTGAGAGAATCAGGAGTAATTGGAAATTAGAATTGATTTGTGAGAAGGTGAGGACTCCAGGTTCCATTTTGATCATATAAAGTTTGAGGTAATAGTGAGATATTTGAGTAAGCACAGATTAGAAATACATGTGTAAAAAAGGCAGATCTGAATATTAGTAAGGATCTGGGCAATGTTCATATTAGATAACTAAATTAATTTTATCTGCCTACTAGAGGCCCAGTGCACAAAATTCATGCACAGAGGAGGTGTCCCTCAGCCCAGCCTGCACCCTCTCCCATCTGGAACCCCTTAGGGGACATCCCTCTTACAATCTGGGACTGCTGGCTCCCAACCATTTGCCTGCCTGCCTGCCAGCCTGATAACCCCGTAACTACTCCCCTGCCAGCCTTATTGATGCCTAACTGTTTCCCTGGTAGCCCAATCACCCTCAACTGCCCTCCCCTCATGACCTGGTTGTCCCCACCTGCCTTCGCCTGCTGGCCTGGTCACTCCTAACTGCCCTCCCCTGCTGGCCTGATCGCCCACAAGTACCCTCCCCTGCCAGCCATCTTGTGACATCCATCTTTGACCGCATGGGAGCAGCCATCTTGTGTGAGGGCATGGGGTCAATTTACATACTACCTCTTTATAATATAGGATAAGAAAAATGTATAGAGAGGTGTTCTAGGGATTCTAATCATTGTCCAATAGATACACTCTGAGGAGCAGTTAGTGGTGTATAATTTTTCAAAAGAAATAACCCAGGCCTAGCTTAACAAATAATTCTTACCTACCCCCAGACAGCCTCACACTTGCTTTCAAAGGTCCAAGTTCTACCCAAGTCAGAATCACTGGAGGATTTATTCCCTGACTCATAGCCCTATTAGCAGTGTGGGAACTGGAAGTTGATCTCTGTGTTTTATCAACAATTTTCATCAGAAGGAAAGTGAGACAATACAATGTCTGAAAGAGTAGGAATTCCTTGCAAATGAGAAAGGGGTCCTGACATCTATTGTAAATTATTCTTTTCCAAGACTAACTCATCTCTTTCCTCCTTCAACTCTTCTTCCTACCCTTGTCAAGCTGACTCTGGATAGAACAAAGACTTCTTTTTAGTTGGATACAAATTTAGGTTACCCACAGTAGATCATATTAAGAGTGATTCTGAAATACTTCTTGGGTTCTGGACAGGACCATGATGATGATAGTCTACAAAGAAAGTGTAAACCTTCCACACAAAAACATACACTTGTCCAAGGAGTGAAAAGGCTTCTAGGGATTTGTCAAGCTCTTCTAAAACCTAAGAACTGGAGACTGACTTAGGAGAGTGGGGCTGATAATAAAAAGAAATCCAAGCAAACAGTGGCAGCAGTTGTCTGACAGGGACACTCAGGTGGGCAGAGAACGCTGTTATGTAAACCCAACAGCAAGATACGATATGCCCAAACAACCAACGTCAAGGCGGTCTGACAGCAGGTCACAGGACCCTGGTTTAAGAAGTTGGGTTCAGACATAGCTCCTTGTATGCAGGACGTCATCCAAGGAAAGGCAATGCCCCAAGGACAGCAGCGCAGGGAGGGGTTCAGCAGAGATTCAGGAAATGGGGAGCATGATGGCAAACCACTTCCAAGAACTGGGAAACAGGCAGGGGTTGGTCTCAAGCCAACAAATTCCGTGATTCAATTACTAAAAATGAGCATGAAGGGGCCTGGACAGCACAGCTTACATAACTAATGAATTAATTTATTGATGATGATAAAATCTCTAAAAGAATAAAATAAATCAGTTCACTAACATTTTATTAACTACCTAGTCCATTTCCATCAGTATTTTTCTTTTTTAATTTTTTTTAAATTATAGCTTGCATTTAATATTATTTTATATTAGTTTCAGTTGTATAGCATAGTGGTTAAACCATCATGTACTTGAAAATGTGTTCCCCACTGTTATTTCCAGTTCCCATATGGCACCATACATAGTCATTACAATATTATTGATTATATTTCCTATACTGTACTTTGCATTCCCATGATACTTTTGTAACTACCAATCTGTATTTCTCAATCCCTTTACCTTTTTCACCCAGTCTCCCAGCCCCCCTCCCCTCTGGCAATCATCAGTTTGTTCTCTGAAGCTGTGGGTCTGTTTCTATTTCATCAATCTTTTTCTTTAACCAAGAAATCTTATCATCTAGTTAGCTTTACCGTTTTTAATATTGACTATCATTTCAAGAAATCATTCCTAACTAAATTGTTTTAAATAGTCTCAAGAGAAAGGAAGGCAAGTTGTTGGCTAACCACCAGACTGAATCTTTTCCTTAACAGTAAGCACACACATTATTTTCATTTTCTCAGTCTTTTAAATTTAGGTTCTTGTTTCTTACCCATAAAGCTCTGGATTATCAGGGCCATGGGAACTCCAGTGTAGATGACATTAAAACTATTAATAGACGATGTCAGTAATAAACCTGAAGTAGGAAACAGAACTGTTCCAAAAAGAGAAGTATAAAATAGAAGAGGGGGAAAAAGCAATTAGATGACTGTCTTGGTGAAAGGACATATTTCAAAAGAAATATAAAACCTTCACAGTGCTCCTACCTACCTATATTTGGATTTTTGTGTGTGGCTATTTTATCTTATTGATCGGTGAAAGAAGAAAGAATATGTTAAATTTAATTCAACATTTTTAAACTTTTTCTTTGCTCAGAACCAGCTCCTCCGAAGTCACTCTTTGCAGTGAATAAAACCCAGACTTCAGTGACGCTGCTGTGGGTGGAAGAGGGGGTAGCCGACTTCTTCGAAGTCTTCTGTCAACAAGTTGGCTCTGGTCAGGAAACAAAACTGCAGGTACCATACACGCCCATCTTCCTTCTCCGAGTTACCTTTGATTAAGGCTAATTAGCTGAGCAAAATGAAAATCTTTGCTTTCTTTGACCGATAGAAAATTAAAACACTTCATTTATGCTTTTGTGTTTCAGTGAGAGAAATTAACAATATGCTCAGAAAAAAGCCCAAAGTATGTTGTGAGAACCAAGTTGCCAAATTGCCGAATTTATTTTCACCTTTAAATTTCTCTTTTGTCCCTAAACCTCAGTCCCTCTGGTTCATACCGAAGGATTAAGGGGGCTCACTTTTCTCTTTGGACATTAAATCCATTAAGAGGATGAAATTATGCCATGGAAAACATAATTTACCAAACATGAGCTGATTCCAATTTTGTGAAAGTCGCTGTATGAAACACAAATGGCAAAATTAATACCTGACTTCAAAATTTTTATCTATACAGTTGTGGATAGTTCATTATTCTATAAATAATGAAATTAAAACAAGTGCCACAAGAGAGATGCATATTACTACAAAAAAAAATGGAAAGAAGGGTCCATCTCTAGTTAATAAGAAAGGAAGAAAATTTTGTTTGGCAAAATGTAAGCTAGGTGAGGTGATTGTTAAAGCTTTAGAATCACAGACAGCAAATATGATGAACACTCAGTTGTCTGACAGCTCAAATATATTTTACAGTCAGACATGGAAGGAAAATGGAAAGTGTGAGCAATATCATTAAATACAGTGAATAACTGATGCTTTTTAAGTAATGAAGTTCTTTGGATTGAGAGAAAAAAAATTTCTGTGAGTATTAATCTTTTCATGCTGAGTGTTAAGATAATTTGCTTTAATATTTTTTCCTTTTGATATTGACTTCTACTAACTTATCTCTTTTTTTATCTTTACTGGATAGCAGAATCTTTTCTTTTTTTTTTTCCATCCTAAGAACCCTTTTTGAAAACCACTGCTCTGCCAGTAGTGGGTTTTTTCCTCTAGAACTGCAGTGATATCTTCCTTTAAGAAAACAAAGGGTAGGCTGCTCCTTACTACAACTGAGTATTGTTAGCCAGTCTTTCCTTAGAAGCATTCTTTTATAGGATAATGAGAGATGGCTATGGGAAATAAGCACTGATGTCTTTCATCTCTTTAGGCAGTAGTTTTCAGGTCCTTGTTTTGCTGGCTCATCTTCTCATAGTGTGCAGTAATATTTGTCACTAGTCTGACTGTTGGCTCGCCAAATGAACAGCTTATTCTGCATAGAATAGGTGAACATTTTTGAGAACTCAAAGTCGCTATGCCTTTGGTGGATGCTATTTAAAAGCTGAGAATGCAGACAAATGGGGGAGGGAGGAGGGCTATCCTTAATATATAAAGAACTACCACAAATAAAAAAGATAAAGACCAACAACTCAAAACAAAGATTTCACAGAAAGTAAACACAAAAGTCTCTTAAACATATGAAAAATTGATCAACCTTCTCTTATGGAGAAAGAAATGCAGAATGAAATTACAGTGAGTTATGGTTTCCACGAATAAGATTGGAAAAGCTCAAAACGTTTGCCACTGTACTATGTTAGAAGCAGAGAGGGCAACAGGCACCGTCAGACATTGATAGTAGGTAGATAACTTGGAAATGTCTATGGAGGACACTTTGTCAATACCTTTCAAAACTAAAAATACACAGCTTTTGACCCAGCAATCTAATTGCTATGAATACGAAAATATATATACATACATTGTGTATTTGCAAACATATACTTATGTTCCCATAATTGTGACATTATGTTCCCTGTAGCATTGTTTATAACTTATTTTTCTCTGCTATCCTTCTTCGCCTTTTAAATTTTTTATTCTGTCCCTCCCTTACCAACTCAACTATGAAAAATTTTAAAAAATCAAAATAGATGAAGGTTACATAACATTTATTTAATTTTCTGCATCTCCAGGAACCGATTTCTGTTTCTTCTCATGTTGTGACCATCTCCAGCCTTCTTCCTGCCACTGCCTACAACTGTAGTGTCACCAGCTTTAGCCACGACAGCCCCAGTGTCCCCACATTTATAGCCGTCTCAACAATGGGTAACTACATGCAATAGGGGGATCTGGTGTCTTTAAAAGTTATATCTTTCCAAAATTTTTTTATGTTTTATTTTTTAAATAAAATAGATTATATATAATCTCTTCTTTTCATGGAACCCATGCTTGTTGTATTGAAAAAATCTAAGCTCTGAGGTCAGGGAGTGCTTAATTTCTATCCCTAAGTGATTTAGGGAAGATATTTCCTATATCTGAACCTTTGTTTATTCATCTGTCAAGCTAGAATAATAATATGTAACTTGTTGAGCTGTTTTGAGGCTTAGAGGTAAAGGACATAAAATCCTGGCACATGCTGTCTAAATGCTCGTAGGTATGGATTACACAATCCTCTTCAGTGGTAGCCACAGTACCCTAACCAACTCTGGTTCACCTAATTAAGCTTTGGCCATTAGCTGTCAAATAATGGCAAGACTCAATTTCTATGTCAGAGCAGAAAAATTTCCAATCAAGCACATACTATGAGTGGAAAAGTTTAAAAATAATGAAAGGTCTAGAATAATGTTGTATTCTTGTTCTTTTTCTGAGTTATACATTTTATTCCCCTCTTTGTTAGAGTCTGATTCCACAGACTAGATCTCCTATGAAACTGCCTGTAATAAAACTACTCTTACTATCACATTACCCTTTACTAGATCCATTTTCACTTCAGTAACATTTGTCATATATTTAGCCACTGTACCCAATGATGAGTAGTATAGGCTTTTTGGTTTGTTGGTTTGTTTGTTTGTTATTTTCAAATTTTTGTTTTTTCAGAAGAGAGGACAAAAATTGACCTAATAAGTATATGATATCAATACATCCTTTTACACTCTTCTAAATGTAACTTATTGTTCCTCTTTGTCATCTCTACAACAAGCCAGAAGCAGTTGATATTATTAAACTTATTTGCTAGTGAGGATAATGAGGCCCAGAGAGACAGATAAAATAACCTCCTCAAATGGCAATTAGAGTCAAGTGAACTTGAACCAGCTCTTCTGACCATGAGTCTACTGTTCTTTCTGCTCAAGCACTCTGCCCATGAACTGGAGTCACATTGTCCCAAATGGGAAGAAACTTATGAATTGTAATGCCAGCCAGTTCCGTGATTTTATGATCAGTACAGAGAATAGAATCATTCTTGTCTTCTTTGGCTCCCTGTGAATAGTTTTTAAAACATTTTATATAAATTCCCACCTTTAATACCTTACTCTTCCATGAAGTGTGATGAGGTAGGCCATGTGTAGTGCCATTGTAGATCGATCATCATATAAAGTATATGAAAGGGACACAACCTCTGTTCTCAAGGGCCCTACAGCTTATGAAAAGGTTTAATCTCTTGAGTTGTACAGATGGAAAACCTCTCAACATATGGTTACAGATCATCAGAATGCTTGCTTCTAGCGATGTGTTAAGTGCTGTAGCAGATGGCAACTCACTAATGCCTTTTTCATATACATTATTAGTTGTGAATGAAATAGACAGTGGTGCTTTCTGACTTTAAAATCATGGGCGTAAAAATAAGAGTTTGCAAGCTTCTGAAAAAGTTAAAGAATGAAAATGACTTCCAATGAATTTAAACTATATCACAGGAATTGCAGGTTATCATTTCCCTTTGTAAGAACATCCAGAATGTAGGCCTGAAATACTTTTGATCAATCCACTAACTTGTAGTTGACCCAGAAGAGGTTATTGTCAGCTTGTAGAAACATCATTGTTGCTGTTGTCACAAGTCCATTGCTCTCAAAATCAGATGGAAAACCATGAGTGAGTTCGGTTAGTTTCCATGTAATGGAAGCTGTAACTAGAATGTATGGTGTATCTGTTTAGTTACAGTGATGAATCCCAATGTGGTAGTCATCTCAGTACTGGCCATTCTTAGCACCCTGCTGATTGGATTGCTGCTGGTCACACTGATCATTCTCAGGAGAAAGCATCTGCAGATGGCTAGGTAAGTTAAGTTGGGTTAATCTTTTACCTACAGCCTTTACAATATTTTATTTATCATATATGTATGTTTTTATAGCAGTAAGTTGTCTACTTCTATTCCTTGTTTTCTTATTTAAATGTATCGTTATTATTGAAAGTATTACCGAGGCCCTTCTTCCCCCTCCCCAGTGACTCCTTCTTCCCCTCTTCCCTTCTCCTTTCTCCTCCCCAGTCTTCATCATACTATTGTCATGTTTTCTAAGAAGACTTTTAATATTATTTTAGAAAACATTACCATTGGATTGGTAAAGCAAAAGATTGTTTGTTTACACAAAGTCAGACCACTTATCTTGTCATTTTAAGTGGCCATACATTACATTTGGATAATTTCAAAGTTGTTTTAGAGTAAAAGAAAAATCTATACTACTCAGAATGATTGATAAAAGTTAATATATGTGGAGATCACAAGAAAGAAAAAAAATCCCTTTTCTCATTAGTTCTGTTGAAGCTGTCTTATGATAAATTATTTGTAGAGTTTGTGATTAGGTCCGTTAAAAGTCCCCCATCATTTTTGTTCATATTATTCAGAGTTGCAGGCAGTTTCATTTTTCTTGCTGTTAGAAGAGCCTTTTGATTTATGATTTTGATGATTCCCTATTCCATTGACTACCGATGCATTTCTTATCAGAGCACATTGTCAAGAACTTTCTGTGGTCCCTATGTTATCAAAACAATGATAAGTTCTCTTAACACATACACACACACACACACACACACACACACACACACACACACACAAAACCAGTTACCTAGTTAAGGAAATTTGACTCAAATTTATATTTATCCAGTGTTAATTGGCTGACTTGTCATCAATCAACATCCTTCTTTCTCAGAGTTCTATCAATCATCTATTCTTAAATAAATGTATGGCATAGTTAAAGAAAAATCAGACATCAAATATCCAAGCTGTTCGTGAGGAACTTAGAGCCTAGCTTGAGAGATGCGGATAAATAAATACATTTAAAAGTATGAACTGACTTGTAACAGGAAGAATATAAAAATGGGACAACATGAAAGTAAAGAAAAGTGATTAGTCAAGAATATAAAAATCAAGCTTCTTAATGTTGGCATTAGAACAAATCTTAGAAGGATAGTGAGGGTAGTGGCACAGCACTGTGGCTAGAACATGGAGTTCTGAAATCATACTCCTTAGGGTCACATCTTGATTTACAACCTATGTGTCCCTGTGGAGCCCACGGAAACTTTATTCATTTACTCAACAAGTATCTTTGGACACCTGCTTTGTGTCCAACTCCTCTAGGTGCTTGGAATATAACAGCATACAAAACAGGCAGCTTGTCTTCTAGTGAAAAGATAGACAATAAGTAGTGAAGGTAAAAGTTAAAAGATTAGGTTGTATGTTAGCAGACAGTAATAGAAAAATAACAAAGCATAGTAAGAGAAATTCTGTCTGGGGAATATGAGGACAGGAGCTCCAGGACGGGGGTAGAGCTCACTGAGAGGGTGACATGTGAGAAAAGACTTGAACATGAGAGGGTTAACCATGTGGTATCTGGGGGGAAGAGTGCACCCAAGAGAGGAGGCAGGAGCATGACTAGCAGGTTCAAAAATTAGCTGGAAGTCAAGAGAGGCTAAAGCAGAGGAAATGCATAGAAGAGGAGCAGGAGTGATGCCAAATCATATAGGGTTTCATAAGCAGTTGTGAGGACTTCGGCTTTTACTCTGGGTAAATGGGCAGCCATTCGAGTTTAAGCGGAGATTAAAAATACCTGGCTTACATTTTAACATTTTCATTTTGACTTTTATGTAAAACAGGCTGTAATAAGGCAAGGACAAAAGCAGACCTGAGAACTGATGCAGCATTGACCATAATCCAGGCAATAGCGACACGGTAATAGTCCCACCCAGAGGAGTAGCAGTGGTGGGTAGGGGAAAATGATCAGGTTCCAGATATATTTTGAAAAGAAAAGCAGTAGGATTTTCTAACAAATTGCATGTTGGATTGATACGAATGGAGTCAAGAATAACTCTAAGGTTTTTGGCCCTGCCAACCAAAAAGATGGGATTGTCATAAACTGAGATAGGATTTCACATGGAAGGGTTTTGGAGGGGGAACATCAGGGCTTCAGTTTGGGAAACGTTATGTTATGTTTGAGATGACTGCAAGGGCAGGTGTGAAGGAGACAGTGTAAAAGTCTGGTGTTCAGGAGAGAAGTCTGGATTGAAGATATACATTTGGGAGTTGTTAGTATATAAATGGTGTTAAAGCTGTAGATGGGATAAAATCCAGGAAGTGAACATTAGAAATCTCTGGATTAAGCAACAGAATAATATAATATTAAGATTTTTATGGAGGAAAAAAATAGGTAGCAGCAAAAGAGACTGACACGCAACATCCAATGGATGGAAAGGAAAACTAAGAGTGAGGTGGCCTGGAGGCTAGGGCATATCAAGAAGGAGATATATGCCTGGCTGGTGTGGCTCAGTGGTTGAGCATTGACCTATGAACCAGGAGGTCACAGGTTTGATCCCCAGTAGGTTTCTGATCAATGATTCTCTCTCATCATTGGTGTTTCTATCTCTGTTTCCCTTCCCCTTTGTCTCTGGAATAAATAAAAATTACATTTTTTAAATAAAGAAGGGGAGAATAACCCCAACCTTAGTGGATAGTGAGGAGCAATAATGCAGTAATGGCATAGCATAATACTCAACTCATAAGGAGTGTGCAACAAAAGCTAGCTGGTAATAGCAATAGAGGAGGGGGTAGGAATGTGGTAGTGGGGGTAGTGGTATTAATGGGGGTGTTATTGCAGGAGCATCCTCAATGCTGCATACAGCAAAATATTTAGGAAAAGTAGTTCTGCTTCAGCCTGCTGGTTTTTAGGACAGAGGTTTCGTAACTTTTTCGGTGCCATGATCCACTGGCAGTTTGATGACACTGTGGTTCTCTTCCAAGAAAAATGCTTTCTTTTTAAGTGCATAAAATAAAATACATAAGATTAAAAAAGAAACTAATTATATTAAAATATGGTCATCAAAGTATGTAAAAGAACAAATGTGTTGTATGCTTCGTTATTAATGCATTAGGTAACAATATGGAGTAAGTGTATAGTAATTCTCATATTTTCCCATAGTGATATGGATAATATTTCAACACCTGCAGAAAATCCATTATGGAAAAATATCTGCAATTTCTATTGTTAGCAAATCTCACAAGTACCTGATGATATTATTGTGACTTTGTGACTTATTACTTACTTTAATAATTGAAGTAACTGCTAAGTACCGTATTTTTCGGACCATAAGACGCACTTTTTTCCCCCAGAAGTGGGGGGGAAAAGTCCCTGCATCTTATGGTCCAAATATAGCCTACACATATACTTTAAAAAAAAGTTTTTTTACTTGCCCGGCTCTGTGTGGTCTCTGTGTGCTTGCCCGGCTCTAAAATGGTTCTAAATACTGCTGTTTACTTTACAGGGTTGATTACATGTGTTTATGACTGTGATGTTGGGTTTTAATGCACATAAAATATTTTAGGACACTATTTGTTTCAGAATCTTTTTTTCTTCATTTCCCTTCTCTAAAAACGGGTGCGTCTTATGGTCCGGAGCGTCTTATGGTCTGAAAAATACGGTATATCATCATAGAGCCCTAAATTCCATTCTTGGACCCCAGTTTAAAAACCCTTGAATTGGAGAGTAAAAAAATTTCTTCTAAGTTAAATGTAAATAAACTCCTATATATTATAGGAAATGGACAAAGGAAAGTCAATTGATGTATAATTCAAAAAACAGTATGATATAATATAGTCATGTATTTTTCAAAAGAAGAAAACTATTCTTAGAACATCTGATAAGAACAGGAAGATAGCAGAATTAGCATCTTGTGTCAGTAATGTCAAAATCTCTGCTTCAATTCTAAATAAGTCCATCAATTTCATGGAGAGGGAAAATGAGATGCATGAGCCCCAGTGAGCTACGTTATTTATGCATAATATTAAGCAAAAGATGGAGAAGGCATGAGAATATGTTTACCCTTTTACTCCAATTCTAGAAAAAAGGTTAACAATATTTTCTGCTGGCAGATTAATAAGCAACATTCTGGATAAGAGGCTTTGCACAGGCCTATCTGTTTTAATATGTATCATTCTTTTACTCTCATCTCAGGTGATGAATACAATGAGGATCACAACATGAGGGGAAATTTTTGGTGAAAGAAAACAATACATCTTGATCTGCCTTCATTATAGTGGGGAAATCAATATGCTATTAAAAACAAAACCCCATGAAGAATATTTGCTAAAAACAAACAACAACAAAAAAGCCTTCATTTTATCTAGAACAATTGCTATAACTTACTTTGTAAAAAATATTAAATCCCAAATAGTTCAAAGATTTATTTAGGATCCTGAGTGCTTTTTGGAAAGGATTGTGAACTGAAACCTTTTGGCCTCAACTTGCTGTGGGGATGTGCGACCTTGTGAAAAATTGTTTTGTTTTGCTTTATCTTTCTATTTTGCATTTTATGCAAAGAGAAACCCTTAGAACTCATTTTAGCTTTTTAAAAATGCAATGTTATGATGATGACCTGGTAAAGACTCATATGTCATGGTAAAAGAGTGCTCCATCAAGCAGTCACCTTGATTTTGTGATTCCTTACATACAGGGAGTGTGGAGCGGGAACTTTTGTCAATTTTGCATCCTTGGAGAGGGATGGAAAGCTTCCGTACAACTGGTGCGTATTCTTTCAGAACAAGCCTCTAGACTGCGTAGCTACGCTGTTTGTGCTCCAAGCTGTGTTTTACTGTCTTTGGGGGATACATGGTTTTTGTCTGATTATCCTTTTTCATCATTTCTCTGACCAGTGGACTTTCAAAGGTCATATCTGCACAGAGTATATTAGTATATATTCGTTTAATACAATTATGAAGTAGCCAAAGTGTCATAGTCTGTTCTGTATTTACTATATTGTACAAAGGACTCAATCATCAGTTAGGCCAGTAGCTCAAAACGGTGCCCAAGGAGGGCTTACACTGAACAAGGAGGGCTGGCGGCATGACAAGAAACCCCGCTGAAGCACATGGCACAGACAGCATCTCTACTTAAGCTCACCTCTCAGTGCCTGGGCACATGAACCACCACCTCCATTCAAACATCAAGCAGAAGTATTACAGCCCACGGCCCTAGACTCTTACTTATGGGTAAATACATATCAAAGCCGAGAAGGTTCCATGAGAAAACATGGCATCATTTTTCTTTATTTAGTATTTAGGATCTGGGAGGAGGAGAAATTTTGAGAATGAAGAAAGCACTTCCAGGGGATTAAATTGGTTGACATTATACTTGACAAGGATACATGAGAATTAACCATGCATGGCAATCAATATCAAATGACACAGCTAATTAAGTAACCATTTAGCGAAGCCAGCACGGCTTCCATGATCTAGTTTGGCTTTTGTGCAAGCAACCGTGCAAAGCACATTTAAACACAGACATTTCGTATTAATTCTTGGTAAGTAATCTTTGTTCTGTTTTTAGTAATCCCCCCGAAATGATTAGTCTTAAAGAAATTGATATGTGATACTGGAAATTGTACTCTACAGAATCAATGAGGGAAGGAGGATTCTATAATACTTAAAATATAAATTCTACCTCCCTGAGTGGGCACTTACCTACTTAAGGCCCACTCTGGTTGAAAATCTAGTTGGAATAGGATGCTTTTTCACTGTTTTAAAATTTTAGTCCGAATGGAATTTTGCTATTGAAATGTGACTAATTCACTGGTGAAGAGAGAGAAATTCATAAACCCTTGATGGTGAAAAGTTAAGAGACGTTACTAGCTTTGTCCAAACATATTACCATGTTTTGCAAGATGAAGAGACAAATTCCCTGATACTTGTTTGCCACCTGGCCCATCCTTAAAAAGGGCCCAGTCACAGAGCAGTGGTGAGCGACTCACGTGGGAAATGATTCATTTGTACACATGCCCCAGGAGAGCTGTGTATTGACTGCACAGCCAGTCACAGCTTATAAAATATGGGGGACCCGTTACGGGAGAACTGAGGCAAAAGAGACTTCACTTCAGGGCTTTTTTATAAAATTCAGAAAATCCTCATCCACTCTTGGCAAAGACAGGTTTTCCAGGCCCAGCATTTTTGGGCTGAAAATAGCTATCTCAGTGCAGATTTGTAAAAACTAAAGTGACAAGGCGACAGCGTTTCCCCCTGATTCTCAGAACAACTGTCGATGCAACCATACGATGGTTTTAAATCTGCATTAATGAATGTTCTATGTTACAACTGGTTGGAATATCTGAAACTGGTTTCAAACCATGCATTTTAGACCAGCAGTCTGAATGAGAATCCAAATGAAACTCCATAGTTTTGCTCCCACTCCGCTGAGTATTGGTTAAGCTCACAGACTAGGCTACTGTTCCTGAATGAATGGCACCTGAGTGTCATGCCCTACCTCCCTGTTGAGGGTTACTTTTTAGACACGGTGTATCAGTTAAAATAAAATTAATGTAGAAAGTCACAGTAATTCACGAAAGTGTCCCGAAAGCTTCGAGTCTTCATCAGAACCGGTACATGTAAACTCACCATTTATATTCCCCCCCACAGCTATTATACCCAATGATGTTTTACAGGTTCCTTAAAATAGACTTACTTATGCACTGGGTATTATCCGAGAGTAAGACTCCAGATAACTAATGAGGCATTTAAGCGCTTCATTTCACTGAATGCGAAATGTAATCACCTAATAGCAGGCTAATTAACACAAAATGCATTGAAAAAGAAATCTGATTACAATAAGAGGCTGTTAGTGAATGAAACTGATTTTGACGACAATATTATAGCACTTCAGCCCTCAGGTTTAAATTTCACGGAACGGAATAATGTTTCACTATAATGAAGGTGCTCGTTTTACTTGATTCCAGTGAATGATGTACTGATGTCTGTTCACAATTTATCTCACTAACGCTTGCCACTTCTTCATCTTTACACCTGTTATCTATTAATGCTCACAGGCGTAGGAGTATATTTGCTTTCCTAACCCTGCTACCTTCATGTCTTTGGACTGATTATCTTTTGGCATTTTATATTAATCCTTGGTAAGTGATTTTCATTTTATCTTTTACTATTTACCTAACACAGTCTTTAAAAGTTAGCTTTCAGGAAGTAAGCAAAACAGAAAAATTCTTTTATGTGTTGGCAGCATCTAAAATTATTCATCATAGAAATGAGTTAAAGCAGTGAATGGTACCAAGATGCTAACAATAATGTTTCCCAATTAAATTTTCTTCCTGTGATGTTCTGGCATGCTTTCCTTCCATGTATTTCCAGTCATTTGTTTCTTCCTGAGTCAATCCAATGGCCTCTCATCTTTATAAGTGATGCTTTCCACGTTCCTTCCCATCTCCATCCATTGCAGAGTTCCATTTTCCCAAGAAGGAAGAAATGCATTGAGGTCGAGAAACCCAGAGCATTACCCCCTGCATTTGGGGCCTCCATGTTGACTTTTTGTGTAAGAATGCTAACCTAGCCAAAACCGGTTTGGCTCAGTGTCAGTCTGTGGACTGAAGGGTCCCAGGTTCGATTCTGGTCAAGGGCACCTACCTTGGTTGTGGGCACTTCCCCAGTGGGAGGTATGTAGGAGGCTACTGATCGATGTTTCTAACTCTCTATCCCTCTCACTTCCCTCTGTAAAAAAAAAAAAAATCAATAAAATATACATTTTTTAAAAAGAATGCTAACCTCATGAATATGGAGCAAATGACCATGTTTAATCCTCTTTATTTAACTATCGTATTTATTTATTTATTTATTTAATATTTTAATATTTCTTTTATTGATTTCTGAGAGGAAAGGAGAAGGAGAGAGGATCATTGATTGGAATGCTCCTCCTTCTTTCCCCCTCTGCCCCCCCCCCCCCCCCCCCCCTGCCCATTGGGGATCAAGCACACAACCCGGGCATGTGCCCTTGGCTGAAATCGAACCCAGGACCCTTCAGTCCACGGGCCAACACTCTATCCACTGAGCCAAACCAACTAGGTCTAACTGTTTTATTTAATTGTCATTACTCTGCAGAGGGTATTGTCGCCCCGTTTTAGAGATATGAAAATAGAAGTTGAAGAAGATTAACTAAGCACTTGATGAGCTACTGTTCTTAAATGACTAGTACCTGAGTGTCCTGCCATACCTCCATGTAAACTGCTACTTTTTTAGAAATGGAGTATAAGTTAAGATAAAAAGCTGCAGAAAGTCACAGAATGCAGCTTTATATGAATGTGTCCCTTGCTTAATTATTTGATTTTTCTCATTTTCCACCATTCATTTTAAGCCTATATCAGGTGGGCCTATGCTTATTTGCATGTCTTTTTAAATATAAATATAACTTTTTATTGATTTTAGAGAGAAAGAAATATTGATTTGCTCTTATTGATGCATTCAATGGTTGATTCTTGTGTGTGCCCTGGCCAGTGATTGAACCCTCTACCTTGGTGTATCTGGACGTTGCTCTAACCAACTGAGCTACCCAGCCAGGGCTGGCATGTCTTTTTTCATAGGTCCCTCTGATGAACTCAGGATCTAATTTCAGCAACCCTTCAAGGTCCACTACTTATACTACTCATCAAATAACATGAGAACCGAGTTAGAGGTAAAAGCCTTTCAATGGTTTGTAGAAAAACAATCCTGAAACAGAAAATGGTTATCTCCAGGCAAGAACAGAAGGCAAAACATAGAGCCTTCTGTCACTTTCAGTAAACTGCACACACACAGATCAATCAATAAAAATATACTGATCGTAACCTTTGTTTTCAGCCTGAGGCTTGTGCCATGCCAAATATCAAAGTAAAATTCATGGTCCCTTCTCCTAGCTTAGCTCAGTACTCAGAAAGCCGCCCGGATTCCCTGCTGTTTGCTGCTTTTCATCTAATAACTCACCCCCCTCCTAACACACTGCCCAGCTTCTACCCACTTCACCAGGAGGTATGTTCCTATTGGTTTTCCAAAATCCTCCTGATGTCTGTAGCGGTTTGTGTGGAAATCAATCCTCTTTCTCATAGTGCTGCTGGAATGGTTGCAGATTCAGAGCCGAACCCCAGGGCTCAGTTGGCTTAGTTAAGGATTGTATTCTGCCACAATTTCTGACTTTCATGATCTCAGATTGTCTGGATTCAGTGTTATTACTCTCTCTTTTCTTACTTCCATATTCACCCTCATACTGTTCCCTACTATTCATCTGCCTGGTCTAAGTCCTCCACAGTTGTTGACATTGTAAGCATGAAGTAACATTTACTTTAAAATGCTCAGCTTTGCTCATGGTTATTGCATGCTAAATTCAGCAGGTGATGTAATTCTAAAGACCTTTTCTTAAGATTTGGAGGTGATTTCCATTTAGCTCATGAGAAAGTAAGTAGTGCTTATGAAATTGTTTTTAATCATCATGAATCCCACGTTCTGTCATTGCTTTATATTCTTCTTTGCAATGAATTCCAATCTGGCTAGCTTTCTACGACTGTCATACCATGAAGGACTTACAAAGAATGCAGCTTAGCTTCTTGAAATCATTGGGGCATTAAACCTTACCTAACATAAATGATAGGGAAAAAATTAAAAGAAGTGTATCATCCTATATGGACATATACCATATTTCTGGTGGTTATCGTCAGTTAGTCATAAAATTTTTTGCAATGAGATGTTACCCTAAGCATCACCCAACATGTTCATTGTAACATGCCCACACACTAGCTTTTTCCATAATGTGCTGAAGTTAAAATTGTTAGCAAAGCCTTAACTTACATGTTTAAAAATGAATTTCCCATGAGGTTAGTCTTAGAATGAACACAGTAATTACAGTGATAATTATATCACTATTGCTGTGGAGTCTCATAATTCAGTCCTTTTGTCATGTCCCACAGCCTTAGGATATCTATAGAAACTCAGCAAAATCTAGGTGTAACAGTGAGAGTCGTACACAATCATGAAGACCTACAATTATGATGATCAGAGTGTGGCAGTGAGTCATCTTTAAGCAAGTGGTAGAATTTCACATGCATTTAAAGTTCATTCAATCCATGAGTGAGATTGAAAGAAACACCAGCGCCTCTCCTCCATGAGTCAGATTTCTGCGCAGCTGTGAATAGTAGCAGCTTAACATCTCAGCACTGAATTTATTCAGTGTCACCCTCCCACATACACTTGTTTCTTCCCCTGTTCCCTTAGAGTCTGTTTGGTTAGGAAAGGTTTCTTTCTTTTTTTAAAAATTTCACTCCCAATCACAAAATATGCTGGCAGCCTCCTGACTTTGCCGGAACCATCAGCTATCTATGCTAACATTCTGCTACATGAAATGAGTGTGGGAATCCTAAAGCTAGCTGAATTACCATTGCAAGCGCTGAGTAGGAGATTATTCAAGAGGCATTTCTTTAGGCTCCCAAATGCTTGTGTGGTACAGCTCTGCCCAGTATTACAGTGAGGTTTTGGGAGGATAAGGGAGAGGCAAAGTAAGACTGCAATGTTTTGTTCCCTTTATGTAAATCCCAAGTAAAGAAGACAGAGAAAGGATGATGACAGGAACTCTTGAATGGATTGTCTTCACTCAGAATTGGAAAGAATGAAAACTACATGAAAGCAGAAATACCACTTGCCTTACAGACATGCCCCTACATTTTCTGTCCTGCTTTACTTTCTCTCCATCCGAAAGTTCCATTTCTCCAGTGGGACTATAGGAGTCCAAGTAACAAATACTTAATGGGATCATTAAGTAAAAGGGTCAGGGTGACATAGCAAGGTTGTTTGTTTTAACTGAATTAAATAAGCATTTAGTTAACACCTACTATGTGCTCCAATAGCTGTGCTCAGCTCTGGGGGCAGGGATGGTCTAGCTGCCAGACTGTCAGTCTGATGTATGGACAGTCAGACAATGTGAGAAATGCCTCACAAGTAAAGCACTGTGCAAGCTGAGAAAGTAGTGCTTTATTCTGCTAAAGGCTTTCTGGAAATGGAGGTATCCAAGCATGCATAATTCCCATGTAAATAAATATTTTGGCACATGAGGGTACTCATCACACTCAGTTATTACTATAGATTGTTTATTTTCTGAAGATGCTCCCATCAATTTTCAAAGATCCTGGAAAATACTTATAAAAAGTATTTGCTCGCAGTCATACCTGGTATTACTCATGTAAGAAATTAAAGTATAACAACGAAGTGCTTCAGCAGACTATCTTAGCATTTGCTACTAGATCAGTTATCTTACTTCTTGGTTGAAAACCATTACCCTAAGTACCCCTTGTAATTAACTGAAGCATACCTTGAGTTGAGCTTACAGACTAGTCAAGAATCAAGAACAAGCAGGTAATTGGTCCAATTCCTCAAACAGCTTAAAAGCTAGTTTATAATTGAATATAAACAATGCCATAGTGAAATTATATAAGACACAGGCCAACACTGGGTAGCACAAATTCACATGCCCAACAAAAATGTCCAGAAAAGCTATTTTTGTTTTAAGAGACCAATATATCTTCCCTCCCACCATTATTTTTCACTATTATTCCCTGGTTCTTTGCTTCTTACCTATAGGACTGGGAGAATTCAGGCGGTTGGTATTTTTATATATTTAAAAAATGATTTTAGCAACTTAATCATGAGTAGCAAGAAATTATATTTAGATTTCTGTTTCTGGCAAATATTAAATATAAAGTATAGGTATGTTCCTACAATCTAATAGAGGTGTGTTTTTTTATAATGAATCTGAAATTATTATCATATGTTCTCATTTAAGGAAAAGTAATTAAACAAATCTGAGATATGTTTAGTGAAAATTAAATAAAATTGAGGTGCTTGGCATAATTATTTAAAATTCTTCAAATTTAATCATTATGCTAATCAATTCTTTTGCCCAGATAAATTTGTCTCTTTTTTTTCATTCTCAGGAGTAAAAATGGTTTAAAGAAGAGAAAACTGACTAAGTAAGTGTTTTCATGTTTGAGACATAATTAGTATTTAATATTGTGCATGCTTAAGGTGTATACTGTATTGACTTGACAGATTTATATATTGCCATATGATTACTACTCTAGCATTAGCTAGCATCTCCATCTGTAACATAATTATCATTTTCTTTTTGTGGTAAGCACACTTAAAGTCTGGTCTCAGCAATTTTTAAGTATGTATAAATGTTTCTTACTATTTCATTTTAAAATATTTTCTTTAAAAATGTTCTTCGTAATGATGTTAATATTACAAATTAAATAGATTGCTTGTTTTCAAATAGAAGGGATGCTTAAGAAAGAGGCAAAGAGCATTTTGGATCTTGCTCCCAGGCATATATCCTCATTTTGGCTCAAATAAACTTCTTACAATTATTAAAAAAAAAAAAGAAAAAGAAAAGAAAAGAAGGGAAAAAGAAAGAAAGAAAGAAAGAAAAAAGAAAGAAAGAAAGAAAGAAAGAAAGAAAGAAAGAAAGAGGCAATTGTGTATTAAAATGGCTAAGATATTATGTGTTGGTGTGTTTGCACATATGGATGGCATGACTCCTAAGATGGGTATATGACAGAAACCATATCAAGAATAAAAAAATATTATCACCAAATGACATCTGAGAAAGAATAGGTTGTTGAGAATTATCAAAGTCTTGCTGAAGAAAATGTTTTTCTAAATCGATAAAAAAAATTACTTTTTAGCCACATCAAAATTTTACAAAAACCTTTCTCATTTTGTACTTTGAAGTTCTGTGCTTATTGCAGAGAGAGGCTTTTATTAGATTTGATGTCATAATAAATGCTTTGAGAAGTGCTGCCTCAGGAAATCTTTGTAATAAATAGAAAGAAGACAATTGCTCTTGCTAGCCTGTGGTTTTCCTTATCTACTGAACTGTTAAATCATAAGAATTAAGATTCTGATGGGTGAAAATTAGCCATCAGTTGATTTCAAAAGCCTAATTAGATGATCACCTCCAGGCCTTGGGTTAAACTGTGCGCTTAAAGAGCAGAACATCTATAAATAGAGCTCATCCTTGATACTTGCCCAGGATAGAATATTGGTGAATTAATCTGAGGTAATTAGGGGTTCCAGCCAGATCTATGGCATCTATGCCAATGAGGAAGAAGTCACAGAGCACATAATACATGAGAAAAGTTAATGCAAATATGTTTTATATAGCCTTGAGTGACATAGTATTTTAGCATATGTAAATAACAGCATCATTTCTTTCTAAATCTATTTCAAATCAAGTATGCATGCATTGGCATACACCAAGTGATATAGGAGACACAAGACTGACCTCAAGAGAGGAGAGCTACTATCACCTGGAAGAAATGATTTGACAGAAACAGAAAGATTTTGTTGCCCAAACTATCCATTGGGTTGTTAAATGAGACATAGAGGCATAGACTAGAGCAGTTAAAAGACAGGGTCTCAGAACCAAAAAAGGAGACTCCATCAGGGTTTGCTCCTCCCAAGGCCCAGGCAGAGAGGAGAAGGAGAAGCAGGATGTGGACAGAAGTTTCGGTAGAGGTTAGGAGTGATGGAAACTGCCCACAAGCCAGAACATTGCATCAAACCAGCTTCCTCATTTCCTCTTCTCATTTTCCCTCCAATCTTATCTCCTTCTCCAAAAGTCAACTATTGGGGGCTTTATACCCCCCTCACCAACTTTCTATTTACTTTCTCTTTACCTTTTCTCTTTCACCCCAAATTCCCCCAACCACCATGTCCCCTTGGCTCTCCTTTCCCATCTCCACTTATCTTCATCCCATCACTCTTTTCCTCCACCTTCTCCTTCCCCCTTTTCCTCTAAATCTTTGACCTGCTTATCTCTGCTCCCTCCCAGCTTCCTTTATCTCATCCTTCTCCTCATCATCCTCTCCCTGATGTTCATACTTCTATTTCCTGGTTCTTTCTCTGTCTCTCTTTTCCCTGCTTTTGCTTTTTCTAACCCCTAAATATTTTCTCTGACTTGCTATTCTTATTGATGTTCCCATGTTTAGCCATTTTGGGGAAGGATGGCAAGTTTGAAGTATAAAAGCTTTTAACTGGGAATCATTCCCTCTGGGCTCCAGCCAGGATTGCACAGCTCAATAGTCCTGTGGTCTTGGACTACTCCCTTGATTCTCTTAGCCTTGACTCTCTCATCTAGAGCATGGAGTAATGTTGGCCATGTCTATCTTACCATCAATCAAGCAACATAACATATGTAAATATTTTAGGTGTATATAACTCATTAATGTTATTGTTATTAAGAAAAAACAGTAAAGTTTAAATGTATTATCTGGGAGGTATAATGGCCTTTAAAATCTAGTAAAATAAGTTAACTGTCAGATTAGCTAATGAACAACTTTAAACAAATGGCTATAAGTACTGTGTATTTGCTATGAAGATATAAGGCCACACGTAGATGACATAAGCTGAGTAACTTGCAACAAGACTAAAAGAAAGGTCAACTATGCAGGCCCTGACAGAGTAGAGGGCTTGGGGTAGGTGGCAGAGGACAGCATGCTACAGAAGCTTAGGGAGCAGGCCAGTCTGGGTAGAGTATAGGCACAGTAAGCAGCTATAGAAAACTATTGGAGACGGCATGGACGGACCTGGAAAATATTATGCTAAGTGAAATAAGCCAACCTGAGAAAGATAAATATCACACGATCTCACTTATTTGTAGAATCTAATGAACAACATGAATTGACCAACAGAATAAGACCCGAAGCAGGGAGGCATGGAACAGACTGACATAACTCAGTATGGAGTTGGGAGAGACGAGAGAGATAAACCAAAGAATTTATATACTTACTAGGCGCCCAGAATCACGCAGCACCACCCACCCTCGAGTCACGGGTCTAGCCCTGCCTCCCTCCATGGGCCCCACAGCAGCCAGGGCCGCTGCTGATCAGGCCCTCTCCCAGCGCTGTGTGTGAAACCTTCTCCTGTCTGGTCAACCTGTTATGACGTCCCAGTTAATTAGCATATTTCTTTATTTTATATAGAGATATTTTATATAGATGATAGATAGATATAGATATAGATATAGATATAGATATAGATATAGATAGATATAGATATAGATAGGTATGCATAGCCCATGGACATGGGCAATAGGGTAGTGAAACTATGGGGTGCTGGGTAGGGGCCGAGAGGAGGAGGGTAAAAAGGAAGAATGGAAGATATCTGTAATACTATCAACAATAAAAATATGTTTAAAAAGAAAAAAAGGAAAACTACAGGAAACAAGCCATAATCCTTATTAAAAAAAAAAAAAAAAAAAAAAAAACAAGAGAAGAGGTGAAAACTTTTGCTACAGATGTAGAAACATATGCTCCGACGTCTTCTTAGATGGTACCTCTGAACCTGCATATCATTTAATAAATGCTATGCAAACCTCTAAGCATGTCTCTCAAACTGAGGCCCTGGCAGCTCTCTGGATCTATTGCTTCACCCACAATCCTCTTCTGTCCTGGGGAAACAGCATAGTCAGCAGCCCAATTCCTTAGACTTGTAAAGCCTTTTTAAACTGGCAAAGTTCTTTAATATGCGGGGTGCAACCTTATGAGGTGGTATGATAATGGTATTCTATAGCTGATTATGCTAAATCTCAGAAGAGTTAGGTAAACTCTCCAAAATCACACAGAAAGTAAAGTAAAGCCATAACTCCTACAAGTGTGCAAGGTCTAATCCATTTTTCCCTCCGTAAACCAGAGTTTTCTAGAATCCACACATATGAATATGTGTGTGAGTTTGCAGGTATATACTATTTTACTGCTGGGGTAAATTGAAAATCTAAAGATATCTCCCATCTCAAGGATGTTTCATATAGATGGCTCTCTTTTTAATTACAATATAGTAATGACTGACAACTTTAATCAAAAAACAAACAACAATAAAAAACAGAGTGCTAATCTTTAAGAAGCAAAACTATTTTCTCCAAGAAAAGTGTTTATGTTTGAGAAGTACAGTGTTAAACAATACCCATTGATTGAGTTTTTTAAACATACTTTTCTTTGTGTCTGATAAAGCCCGGTTCAACTGGACGACTTTGACGCCTACATCAGGGATATGGCCAAAGACTCTGACTATAAATTTTCTCTTCAATTTGAGGTGAGTGAAAAAAGCAGGCCCTGCCTTCTGGTAGATGGGGCAAGGGGACTGGCAGGTGTGGGTTGGTGTCCTGTCTTTGCTCACTGGGCAGCGCTTGGAATGAGGTTACATCATAAACAGGATGGGCTCAGGAGTATGTATCTGATCTGCAGGTTCAGAGATAGGATGTCAGCTTTTAGTTACTACGTCAGGACTAGAGCACAGATGGAGGGAAGGAGATGCAGGCACTGAGGTGAACAAACGTGGTTGTGGGAGAAGCTTCCATTGAAAATCAAGGTGATCAAGACTGCAGGGGAAAGCAAGCTGACGACTGAGATTGGAAACAGAATTTCACTCTCAGGGGATTTTTAGTGTATTTCTCATGCCACTTGGGCCACAGTGTGGTGAGTGCAATGGATCTGTTTGTCATATAGGCATTTAAGAGTCTAGAATGGGGCTCTACCTATAGGACTCTTGGCATTCTACTTAGTATTTCCTTGTGACATTTTGTTTCCTTTTCTTGGAGACATTGGGGAGAATCAGACATGGTTTTTGTAGGAGAAAAGAGTTGGTGGAACCTCCTATTTCTGAGGCACACGTATTTGTTTGAGTCCAAGACCATGTGTCAGAGCGGCAGGAAATGAGTAAGCCTGGATCTCAGCAGTGTGAGGACTATCACCACGCGTTTCACAGCACGTAGTGCAGTCTGGGCGGGCACATCTTCAGCTTTCTACAGGGGGGTCCATGATGCAGGGGAATCTGAGAAAATGGAAAAACAAAGTGGCTTTTCTAAATACTGTAGGTTTTTTTAAAAACCTCCAAGGTGCTCTTACTGTGAAATAGTAGTTTGTAGAGTGTAGCTCCTTCTTCCTCATTATTCATATTAACTTCTTCTTTCCACCCATCAGCCAAGGACAGCTTTGGTCTGCAAGAAATGAGGAATCCCAGTATAGAAATTCTGACAGGAAAGTTAAGGATGAGAACTTTATTTTTTTAAATATTTTATTGATTTTACACAGAGAGGAATTGAGAGGGACAGAGAGTTAGAAACATCGATAAGAGAGAAACATCGACCAGCTGCCTCTTGCACACCCCCAACTGGGGATGTGCCCGCAACCAGGGTACATGCTTTTGACTGGAATCGAACCGGGGACCTTTCAGTCCACAGGCCGATGCTCTATCCACTGAGCCAAATCGGTCCCGGCAAGGATGAGAACTTTAGATGTTATCTGTTACAAAGCTTCTAACTACCGCCTGTGTCATGAGAAATTCCACAGTTAGCCATTGAGTGCAGGTGCATAAGAAATTACAGATGTTGCACCAAATGCTGTATTTCAAAGAACAGAAATTCAGTTTGAATTGGAGACCTATGGTGAGGATGTCATTTCAGAAAGTATGTCAATGAAAGGAAGAGAGTTTTAGAAGAAAACATAAGCCTTTGCTGGGAGGATGAGGCGTACCTCCCGTCAAACTTTGGCATAACTATTACTGTGCTTCTGAAATGCATTATTATTAAAAATATTCAATTAGTCTTTTATTTTTTGTAAAAAGAAAATATTATTTTAGTTGTCCATCACTGGAACACAATTCAAACTAGTTTAGACCAAAGAAAAATTGAATTCATTCCCAGGATGCTGTTATCTCATGTGATCAAAGGAAAGAATGAGTAGCTGAACCAGGAGGGCAGGGAAGCAATCCTGTCTAAAGTATAATTGGAACCAGAGGACGCCCCTGCAGAGACCTCTTTTTATTTCTCACTTCTGCTTCTCTCTGTCTTGGCTTCACCTTCTTTCACTGTAAGCCAACCTCTGTGTCTATGGCAAACACGACCACCAAAAATATCTGTGTCTTACAGTATAGTTTCCATAGTTTCCAATAGAAACTCTTAACTCTCTTGTTCATATTTTGAAAAATAACAGGGGATGATTCTGATTGGCTGGCCTAGGCCAAAATGTCCCCTCAAACCAACCACAGCCAGGCAGGGCAGAATCACCTCAGAATAGAACAGCTCTTACTGGAAGCACAAAGCTAAATCAAAGAAGAAAACGTTATTTTCAAAGCAAGGACACTGGGATAACCAAACAGTGAGGGATTAGACCCAGATGCAAATGCTTCAAAAATATGAAAAGTAGAATGGTAAACTTTATATGCTAAATGCTCACTTTTTAAGATGTCGAGGGCTTTTATATATTTGATGTTTAACATATCTAGGCTTATCTTATAGAATTTATAAAGGATATAGGAATGTGCTAAACTGGGAATTCAAAAACCTGGGTCCTCCATACCATTTTGCCACTAATTAATATTGAAAAAATCAAATTTTTCATCACCTGAGTTTCTTCATCTATAAAATGGTAGGCTTCACTGAATCAGTGATTCTCAATGGGGCCAGTACCAGGCAGTTCCCTAGGCAGGGTTTTCAGATGTGTAAGAGTTTGGTTTTTGTTTTGTTTTTTTTGTGGTGGTGGTGGTGGTGGTGGTGGTGGTGGTGGTGGTGGAGGTTTTGTGTGTGTGTGTGTGTGTGTGTGTGTGTGTGTTTTGTTTGTCATATGGCTTGGTAGTAACCTACTAGTGGTATTTATTGGGAAGAGGGAAGGGATGCTAAATGTTCTTCAATATCAATAAATGGGACAATCCCACACACCAAAGAATTGTCCACTGAGAACAATAGACTAAATGTGGGGTATGGATACATCCAGGCTTTATTAGTCACGAGTGATGGTCAAGATTCTGCAGTGAAACTGAATCAATAGATAGGTAGATAGATGATAGATAGTAGATAGATAGATAAGTAGTTAGGTAGGTAAGTAGATAGATGATATAATAGGATTTAGAGAAAAAAAGATGGAGAGATTTATTTTAAGAAATTGGCTCACATTAGCAAGTGTGAAATCTGCAGTGCAGGACCTGGGGAAGAGGTGATGTTGCAGCCCAAGTCCGCAGTCTGGAAACAGAATTCCTTCTTCCTCCAGGGACTTCCCTCTTTCCTCTTAAGGCCTTCGATTTACTGGGTAAGATCCACCCACATTTTGGAGGCTAATCTGCTTTCTCAAAGTCTACTAATTGAAATGTTAATCACATCTTAAAAAATATTACACAGAATATCTGGACTTAATGTCTGACCAAGCAACTTGGTGCTGTAACCTTGCCAAGTTGACACATTAAATTAACCATCACAGCATGATTTGAAGGAGTGTTTAGTGTTTTTATTTATTACTAGAGGCCCAGTGCATGGAATTCGTGCACTCAGGGGTGAGGAAGGGGGGTCCCTCAGCCCAGCCTGCACCCTCTCACAGTCTAAGAGCCTTTGGGGGATGTCTGCCTGCTGTGGAGGCAGGAGAAGCTCCCATCACCACCACTGTGCTCCCCGGTCATGAGCCCGGCTCAGGGCTTCTGGCAGAGTAGAGCTCCCACTGTGGGAGCACACTGACCACCAGGGAGAAGCTCCTGTATTGAATGTCTGCCCCCTGGTGGTCAGTGGGCATTATACTCACCAGTTGTTCCACTGTTTGATCTATTGTATTTGCATATTAGCCTTTTATTATATAGGATGAAGTTTTATTTTTTCCATATATCTTTGTTTTTAGAGTATTATTGGTCATATATACCGTATAATTAGTTGGTGTCAAGTCCTGATATATTGTATCCTTTGCCATGGTGAAAAAATACAAATTACTCTCCAGAAGTCTGCTTTATTAAAATCACAAGCTCAGATTGTTTGTTTTGGACTAACATTTGCTCAAGCAGTTACCCATTAGTCTGACTCACTTCCTTTTTCATTTGACAGCCTCCCAGATAGTTCCAGTTCCCAACCCTCTCACCCTACATCCTCATGGTATCTTCCTTTATTTTTAAAGACTCATTGTGCTCCCACACCTGACTTCAGTGTGCATGTTGGACCCTCCACGTGGCAGCCCTCAAATTTTCCTGAAGTTGATAATTAATTGAGGCTTACGGGGGGAAAAACTGTTTCCTTTCCAATGGAAACCCAAGAGAGTGTTAAGATGGCTCAATCAGCTGATCTAGCTAAATCCAGTGGCTGAACAGTTCTTTGTTCTGTTTATATTAATGCTTAATAGTTGTATTCATTTTGATTCTGACATTGAAAGATCGCACCCACATAGAGAAATTTCATCACTTGTAAGCATTATGCAAATTGAAACTAATGTCTAGATTTATATATACAACCAATACATCTCTAAGTCATACATGAAACCATACAAGTTGCTAATTTGCATTCACTGAATAAATTACTCTTCACTCTGCATCTGATTTTTGAATCTACTAGAAAAGACTGATTATCCTTCTAACAAAAATATACATCATTTCTTAAGGAGGTTTGGGAACCAGGGATTAAATTCAATTCCTCATTTCTTTTGTCTCAGATGGAGAAGGTTTTGAAGAGTCAGACTTTAGAGCTTGACATTTGAGAGCCCATAAAACATACCTCCTACTGCTCATTCTGCCGTTATTTTCTGTGTTTTATGTTTGATTGGGATGCTAGTGGGATATGTGTCTACAAAGATAAAAGCAAAACTGCCTTACTTCTCATATAGTCCACAAGGGATGGCCTCTGATTTCTGAAAGTAGCTCCCCTTTGCCTGTTCTTACCTGTGTTTCAGTCCAGTTCACTAGAGTCCTACCTGCAGTTCTTATTGAAAAAGGTTGCCTTGAACCTTCTCCAATACCAGATCATACATTGCTCCAGACCTGAGTTTTTTCTCAATTCTAATTTCCTAGGTTTGGTCTCTGTTCCCAAGTGCCTGTACAGTAAAGTGGCCAGTGATTGAAGTGTTGTCCTTAAACCCCATCCTAGAGCCCAAAGCCCTGGTAGCTATTGCTAGACACTCCCGAGGTTGACTTTCTTCTAGCCATCTTCCATCACCTGCCCAAGATTCCAACCACTGCTGCACCTCATTCTTCCTTATTTGGAAATAGGACCATTTGAAGATGTAATTAGTTAAGATGAGGTCATACTACAGTAGGGTGGAAATCCTTATGAAAGGCAGCTATGTGACCATTCAGAAACAAGGAGACTGCCATGTGATGACAAAGCAGAGATTGGAGAGATACATCTAGCACAGTGCACATTTATATGCTTTGCTTTTCAAGACTTGCAAGCTTTAAACACAGCCACACAGGATGGACTTCCACTGGGCCTTGGTGACTATATTGGTTTACTAAGGTTGCCATAGCAAATTATCATAATCTTGGTGACTGTAAGCAACAGAAATTTATTCTCTCACTATTCTAGAAGCCAGAAGTCCCAAATCAAAGCATTAGCAGGGCCATGCTCCCTCTGAAAGCTTTAAAGGAGAATCTTCCAGTTCTGGTGGCTCCAGGCATTCCTTGGCTTGCACCTGCCTAACTCACATCTGTACCTCCACCTTTACATGGGCTTCTCCTCTCCTCCCTTTCATAAGAACACTTGTCATTAGATTTAGGGCCCACGTGGATAATGCAAAAAGGACTTGTCTCATGATCCTTAACTAATTACATCTGCAAACACCCTCCTTCCAAATAAAGCACACTGACAGGATTTAGGTGTTACGAGGTAGACATATCTTTTGGGGGGACCACCATTCATATGGTGACTCTGTGGCCTAGAAAAAACAAACTCATGATGATAAATTATATTAGAATCAAAACTAGCAAGAGAAAACTCAAAAATGACTTATGTTGGTTTCAGGCCATCCCCTCATACTTTGCCTTTCTGGAGCTTTCAGCCTCTGGAGATTCCATATGGTTAGAAAGAAAATAACTGCAAAGCTACTGAGCTGGAAACTTTGTGTTCCATTTTCCACTTAGCGACAGGCTGGAGTACAAAAGATTGCGAGCATGTTGTGCATACATGCAGTTCCTGCTTTGCTGCAATTCAGATCTGGCAATTTACGTTTCCAGTGTTCAGCCAATTAAACCTCTCTTATCAACTTAGGGCATTTACCGCAGGGAGGCAACTCGCAATTAAAGTTCTGTCGGCTAGTCAGCTTCCGTATGTGCCCAAGCTCTCTGCTGCAATCTGTTTCCACCATTTCTTTCGTATCTGAGGCCCTTTCCTGTGGCTTATCAGTCTGTCCTCAAAGCAGGGGACTTGCAGGAAGAGTTGCTGGTCTGTTAGTGCAAATGACAAAGGATGGAGAATTGTGGAGCCAGGCAAACAGACACATTTCACAACCATTCTCCATAGCACTACATTCATCTGTTGGGTCTGATCATTTCATTTGATGGTCACTATACACCAGGGAGGTGTGGAGAAATTATTAACCTTATCTTACAAATAATTAAACTGATGTGAATAATACTTGAACTATTTTTCCAAGGCCTTGCAGTTTAAGGGGTACCTCAAAATGAGCCAAATGTTTTGTTAAGCTATCGATAAAGGCGTTATTTAAATAAAAAATGTTTTTATTGATTTTTAGAGAGAAAGGAAGGGAGAGGGGGAGAGGGATAGAAGCATTGATAAGAGAGAAACACCCATCAGCTGCCTCCTGCACGATCCCCACAACTCAGGCATGTGCCCTGACCAGGAATGGAACCGGTGACCTCCTGGTACTTGGGTCAGCCACTGAGACACACTGGCCAGGCTATAAAGGCACTCTTTAAAGGAGGTAGATTTCCAAAATAACCGATGAAAGCATCATTTAAATGAGCATATAGCTACCAGAAGGACCTAACCTAACACTGATTTAGTTGAAGTTTCTAAAACTAGGTTTCATTTCCTACAAGAATGATTTGAAAACCCTTGAAAATGGAAAACCAGTAATAACAGTGACATTTAAAGGCATTTGGCAAGCAAGGTTTTGATTAAGATAGAAAAACTTCTGATTTTGTGATTTGAGGATCCAAGTTAGCATAGTTTGTCTTTACGATGCTTTAATTTAGGTAAAAAAGTATGAGATCTTGTGAGCTAGAAAAGTCATAGAGCTACAGGAACAAAGGAACCAAGAAATCTAGACGATTTTGGTTGGTTCATCTTTGTGGACCACAGGCTTGCATCTCAACACCATTAAGCACACACACTAAACTATTTATGTGGAAGCCCCAGGAGTTTCAAGAACTAGATTCTGAAGCATATACTTTGCAAAGAGCACTGGAATCAAGACAAAAAGATCATTAAGGAGCTATCATTGTTCAGGCTCTCCAAATGTCATCAAATGTCTCCAACTCCCTTAGAAAGTCTTTCAAAGACTCTCAAAACTCTTCTCCCTGAGAAGTATTCCTCCGGCTTATGATTGAAGGGATACCTAGGAATAATTATGACAAGTAAAACTTGTTTGCAATATTAACATCCTATATGAGTAAATAAAATGTACAAGCGGTTTCTCTACTGCCTCAGTTAATAGTCTTATAGAAAAGTGCATTACTATATAGATAACCCCACTTATAGATGGTTACACATGCTGTTTACTATTATTTCTCTCAAATGTGTTGAGGGGTAATAACTAGATATGCTGCATTGGTCTTGCCCTATACAGTTTCATGGAGCACCATTCACACAGACCACAGCATGAACGATGCCCCCAGGGAAATCTAAGTGGTTTGACGACAACCCTTGTTTCCTACCAAATACAGGACAAAGCAGCTTAGAAATCATCTGTCCAATAGCATAATTTTTTGAGGTGTGATGGTTGTCAGTTTATAGAAAAATTGCTCTATCAATTTACCTTCTGATATAGAATTTATGGGAATACTGATACACACAGGCCGATATTTGGATGTTCTTATTTTCACTGCAGTTTCCACTCACCCACTACTGATTCATCCTTATTTTTGAGGTATATATATATATATGGAGAGAGAGAGAGAGAGAGAGAGAGACAGAGAGAGAGAGAGAGAGAGAGAGAGAGAGAGAGAGAGAGAGAGAGAGAGAGAGAGAAGTAGCCAGCCAACTGGCTGGCAGGCTGACTGGCTAGTAGGTGTGATGCACACTGATCGCCAGGGGGCAGATGCTCAACACAGGAGCTACCAAATGACAGCAACTTTGCAGAGTACCCTCTCATTCTCCGGGACCCCTCAAGGGATGTTGGACTGCAGATTTCAGCCCAATCCCTGCAGGCCAGGCTGAGGATCCCCATCTGCCAGAGGAACCCTGCTCACACCACTGACACCCTTCAAGCCCCGGAGCCACCCAAGGTACAACTGGCTGGGAAGGGACTGTGAGAGGTTGGCTCCAGGGCCTGTCCAGTCCATCTTGCGCAGTCCCACTCTGCCAGCCACCTTCCTTTCAATGTGCATGAATCCATGCACCAGGCCTCTAGCCTACTAGTCTATATACAGTATATAAAAGGTTAAGTGACCATCGCAACTGAACAGATGACCAAACAGGCTTCATGGGGTGACCAGGCCAGCAGGCAGGTTAGTGAGGGACAACCAAACGACTGAACAGCAGGCTGCCTGGGGCAACCAGACCCACAGGGGGGTGGGGCAGTGAGGGGGTGATGAAATGACTGAGCAGCAAGCAGGGTGTGTGGGGTGGCCAGGCCAGCAGGGGCGGGGGGGGGGCAGTGAGGAGTGATAAAATGACTGAGCTGCAGGCTGTGTTAGGCAACCAAACCAGCAGGGGTGTTAGTGAGGGTCAACCAAATTACTGAGCGGCAGACTGAGGGGGTGACCAGGCCAGCAGGGGGTTTGTGAGGGATGAGCAAACAACTGAACAAGCAGGCTGTGTGGGGTGACCAGGCCAACAGTGGGAGCAGTAAGGGGTGACCAGGCCAGCAGGGGGACACTTATGGGTGATCAGGCAGATAAGCAGGTGAGCAGTTAGGAGCCAGTGGTCCTGGATTGTGAGAGGGATGTCCAAATGCCGGTTTAGGATGAGGCCTAAACTGGCAGTTGGATATACCCTGAGGAGTCCTGGATTGGAGAGGGTGCAGGCTGGGCTAAGGGGAGGGACAAAATTCATAGACTCCCCTGTGCATGAATTTTGTTCACTGGGCCTCTAGTGTATATATAAAAACCTAAGCGACTCAACAACTGGTTGACTGGTCACTATGATGTGCACTGACCACCAGAGGGCAGACACTCAATGCAGGAGCTGTCCCCTGATGGTCAGTGTGCTCCCACAGCCAACCTCCTGCAGTCCCTTCCCCTGGCCAGCTGGCCCCAATTGGTCTCTATTGCCAGCCAGGCTGAAGGACACCCCCTCTCCCTGCACCCCCTGGGCACGAATTCATGCACCAGGCCTCTAGTATAAGTGCCTGTCAATCCTACATCTTATTACATGGAAAATATTCCTACATTGTTCCTCACTCTTTCTTTTACCACTTTCTCTAAGGCTCATTGCCTAAAAGAGAAATACTGACATTTCCTCAGGGACTAGGAAACATTTGTGCAAATTGCATACATTTCAGTTACTCTATACCTCCTAAAAATTGAAATGGATTTCTTTCAAACTTGTTTTCAACTTCTCCACACCCAGAGAATTATGCACATAATCCTTACCTTCTCCAAATGATCACCAGGTTATCTAAGATATATAAGTATTGTATTAGTCAGCTGTTTGTATATAATGCTATTATATACAAAACAACATCAAAATCTCAGTGACCTACAGCAACAATTAATTTCCTCTCTGAGGGGCTATAGAATAGCAGGGACAGTTCTGCTTCCGGCCATGGGTCAGGGTGAGGACTGTTTTATGTGTCTCCTCATTTAGGGACAAGCAGCTTCCCTACACATGTTCTTTTCATGGCAGATAGCAGAAATACAAGAGGACAAAACAAAACAAACAAGCACATTTCAAGCTTCTTATTGAACATGATTCTACCCAGTTCATTGGCCATAGCAAGTAGACAAGAGTTGGGTGGTGAAGTATGTTCTATCCCCAAAAGGGAGCTCTGCAGCTTCATATGACAAAGGAGGTGTGATGATTCTCTTATAGGCTGGAGCGAAGAATGGTCTAAAGTGAACATCCCATCCACACCATGTATGTATGGAAATCTCAAATCTATTCTCTGTCACTTACAGGAGTTGAAATTGATTGGACTGGATATTCCACACTTTGCTGCAGACCTTCCACTGAACCGATGTAAAAATCGTTACACAAACATCCTACCATGTAAGATTGTCAATAGTGCCGGTCTGACTCATATATTTCAAAGGTCGAAGAATGATTAAATGCAAATTAATCAGTTTCACCAATCTCTGGCCAGACCCAGTTGTGGTCCGGATCTTCAAGGCCATCTCTGATCGAATCCACGCTCTGATGTCATTAGATCCTATCGTGTGTAGGAAGATGTAATCATTATGCATTTAAATGAACTGCATGTGAACAGGCAAGACTGACCATTTGGCTCTTTAGTGATCAAATGTCTTAGTCAAATTAGGGATAAAATAACCTGTGCTCTCATAAAATGAATTCTGTCAATTCATTGGCAATGGAAGGCAGCAAATGGAAAGGGAGCTCAATCTGTTAAAATGCCTCCTTTTTCTAACTTCTGGCAAGTTCTGTTGTTGCTTAGCATTTTTTTTTAAATAAAAGCAACATTCAGAGAAAAAGTAATATGAAGTACTAACAGGACAATTAAAATATATTCCAATATAGATCTAACTCTCCTCTCTGCTATACTCCAGGGGGAGCCATGACAGAATGGAAAAGTAGAAAAAGAGGGTGAACAAGCTCTAGGAAAAGAATGTTTTCCTTAATAACATTTCTTGGTAATCTTAGGCAGCATTACCACTATAACACCTTACATCTGTCCACATTTCAGAGTTTACTTTTCTCATTTGAATTCCATTCACAAAAAAGCCCATGCAGCTCCATATTACCTCTAGGTTTCCCAAAGGTAATGCATTCCTGGATGTCACTGTGTGAAATGGAAATTATATAATTAAGATACATGCTGTAGCCTTCCCTACAATCTACCAAAATTTTTAGTTTTTGAAAATATTATGCACCCTCTCCCCCAAAAGATGAATCTAATTCTTCAAAGGACAGGAGAGCTGGTGGGAGAAAATAGTGATGGAGAGAAATTTATGTATTTGTTTAAACGAGAAACTAAAATTGAGGTGTGGCTAACATCTCAAGCTAAGACAAGCTTTATCTCCCTTACTCTATCCCTAAGCATTTTGGCTTGATATTGGGAAGACAGGATCTAAACAAGTCTTCCTTCCACCCTAATTTTTAACATTTCCTTTCTTCTGATTCTGTACAGATGACTTTAGCCGAGTCCGATTAATCTCCATGAACGAAGAGGAAGGAGCAGACTACATCAATGCCAACTACATTCCTGTAAGTGAAAGAAATAAAAAATAAAAAATAAACCAGGCATCCAAATTCCAGGGCAGTCTGAGCAAAAATCCATCAAGAACACAGGGATGTGTCGAACGGTCTAAAAGAAAGCCATTCTTCTGCTAGAGAACAGTTTCCATTATTCCAGCTCAGAATAAACAGTAGGAAACAAAGAATCCCAGAGATTAATTATGTCCCCATTTCCTTATGAACGACCAGTGAAAACAGTAGGTCGTTACATTAAAGACCATCCTTCTCGTGTTTAAATGTTTTTGGCATCCCTTCCCCTTGAGCAACTGTGTTTTAAAATATCTATAAAGACGGTAGTTGTCATTTTAGAAAGTGAGGGTGTGACTTCATAAGCTTCCCAAGGATCATGCTTAAAAATCACACTGACCTATACAGTCAGTCACTCTGAGGGCCTCTTCCCCGGGAGCAGGGGAACAGGTACTAAGGTGTGAGATCCGCTGCCAGGTGTATCCCCAGTACATTTCCGGTGTTTTTCTAATTTATGCAGAGCGGCCTTGGTTCCTCAGGTGACAACTCTGCCACTTACCTTTCAGGGATACAACTCATCCCAGGAGTATATTGCCACCCAGGGGCCACTGCCTGAAACCAGAAATGACTTCTGGAAGATGGTCCTCCAGCAGAAGTCTCAGATTATTGTCATGCTCACTCAGTGCAATGAGAAGAGGAGGGTAAGTGCCTCCGGGGCTGTCCCCACTCAGCACCAAGACCTGCACCAGCCACCGCCGTGAATGGAGTGCTCACCCCGCACAGAACCTGCTCTTGCTTCCTGTTTCAGCTCACAGTGTCACGTACACTTCAGACACAAGTGCTCTTGTCTTGTTTTCTCTAAGGGAGCACAGACTTTGCTCCTCCCCTGGCTTGTTTGTTTGAACACTTGTGTTTTCTACCTCAGGTGAAATGTGACCATTACTGGCCGTTCACGGAAGATCCCATCACTTACGGAGACATCACTGTGGAGATGGTCTCAGAGGAAGAGCAGGATGACTGGGCCTGCAGACACTTCCGGATCATCTACGTAAGTCACGAAGCACAAGTTCAGATGCTGTCCCCAGGCTGAGGGAACCCTTCCCCCCCACCCAGGTGTCAGGAGACCAACCCACTACCCAACAAGATCATGAGCACTTCAGGCTTTGCAACACTTCTTCCTTTAAGAGGAAAAGCCCACTTTCAATATCCTTGTTTCCCATGTCATGGAACCTGGTGGGATGAAATGCTGGCCTGCAGGGCCCGGGGGGATGGGGAGAGACTGGCCTGCCTGTGGCAGGTGAGCCCTGGGCAATAGAAGACATGTGGGCCTTGCTCCCCAGGCCTGACTGAGGAGGGCATGCTCTCATGACTTACACTGTGTTTGCTTACTATTAACCTGTTAGCCGGGGAGTTCCCTTTTTAATGACGCAACCTGTAACGGGTGCGTACTCTTTCACTAGGACGTGTCAGTACGTCACGCCCGGAGGACGTAATTTCATATTATTTTTTTTATTTATACTTAATGAAAATAAATGAAATATATATATATATTCGTTTATTTATATATATAAATCACAAAGGAAAATACAAAATTAAAAAAAAATAGAAAAGAATACCGACAAAAAAAATGGGCACGTCAAATTAAAAAATTATAAATTTTACAAACAACGATAAAGATTACAAAAAATAGCTGAAACCGGTTTGGCTCAGTGGATAGAGCGTCTGCCTTCCGACCTAAAGGTCCCAGGTTTGATTCCGGTAAAGGGCATGTACCTTGGTTGCCGGCACACCCCCAGTGGGGGGTGTGTAAGAGGCAGCTGATCGATGTTTCTCTCTCATCTCATCGATATTTCTAACTTTCTCTCCCCTTTCATTCTTCTCTGTAAAAAATCAATAAAATATTTTTAAAAAAAGATTACAAAAAATATATACCATCCCTCTCTGGGCACAACATATATTTCAAGGACGTATTCATATGTCCTACCCATTCCCGATATTGTTTACGTTTGACGTATTTATAGGTCCCGCTCGGTTAACAGGTTACTATGACAATGGAACCAAAGAGTGTCCATGTCCATACAACAGAAGCATTCATTAACTACCAATTTATTGATATTTAGAAGGGATAAATCACTTCTGAGCCACTAGTAGTTAGCAAATGGTTTTGGCTATGCTGAGAATTTAGGCAAATCCCTACATGACATAACAGATTTTGCAGGTCCTGCAGTGGAGCAGCATGTCCATATGTGAGTATAATTAGCATACACAAGGCACACTTAGCTTTTAAATTAAAAACTTAAACCATGATTTAGTAGTTTGGGTTTTGTTTTGTTTGGCTTTTTCCCCTCCTTATTTTGTTCTGGTTTGGTTTTTATTATTTCAAAGGTCCTTCAGGGCATTTTCATTTTTATTGATTTGAGAGGGAGAGCAAGATAGAAATATCAATGAAGAGAGAGAATCATTGATTGCCTGCCTCCTGCACACCCCCTACTAGGGAACAAGCCCACAACCCAGGCATGTGCCCTTGAGCAGAATTGAACCTGGGGCCCTTCAGTCTGCAGGCCGACACTCTATCTACTGAAGCAAACCAGCTAGGACACTTCAGGACACTATTAATCATGGTTCCACATCTCTTTTGAAATGCCATTGATTTCTGATTGCTAGGATGTCAGCACAGTCTGTTCCTCCCACCACCTCTCTTAGGACAGGCTTGGAGCATGTGCAGTAGGTTCATGTGCAGGCAAGATGCAGACATCATCTGCAGAATGTATTCTCCACTTGTTCCCTCCAGAAAATAGGAGGGAACCTATTCTCCACTTGAACACTCCCTGCTGAGAACCAAGTTTAATAGGAGAGTCCTCCTTAAAAACTTGCTGCTTAGAAATAGCCCCTCCTAACAGCTGTGACCAAATTCACCTTTGTTTCATAAATACTGTGAGCTAAGAATGAGTTTTATCCTTTTAAATGTTCAAAAAAAAATCAAACCAAGAATGATATTTCACATGAAATACTATAAGAGACATCCGTAATCACTCCATAAGTGATTCTATAATCAAAGGTCAGTGTCCATAGATACCATTTTGTGGCAGCACAGCTACATGTGTGTATATATTGTCTGTGACTGCTTATGTGCCCCATCCAACTGGAGTAGTTGCAATAGAGACGGCAGGACCTGCAAAATCTAAAATACTCTCATCTGCCCTACACAGAAAGTGTTAGCTCACTATTAATATAGACAATGTAACCAGAGAGTGTCCATGTCCATACAATATAAGCATTCATTAACTACCCATTTATTGATATTTAGAAGAGATAAATCATGTCTGAGCCACAGGTAGTTAGCAATGGCAACTTTGGCTACACTGAGAATTTAGGCAAGTCGCTACATGACAGTAAGAGACTGTCCTTCATGCTGCTCCATTGCTTTGAAATGCCCACCTCCTCCTGTTCCCTAAGCACATTCCTATGCAGTTTCACCTCCAATGTCATTTCCTTTGTTAACCTTCCCTAGTTTCATGGGACCTTTGTCCCTTTTCTCCTCTGTTCTGAGTCTCATGGCTATTCCTCCATCACAGTACCCTGTAGATTATTACAATTCTCTCGCTTCATGTCTGCCTCCCCCAGTGTGAGTTTTGGAAGCAAGTACCCTGTTTTAATCATCCTTGTAATTCCACTTACTACATCTTTGTGGGGTGAACAAAACAGTGAGTAAATGAATGATTTCAAAAATAATAAAGCACTTGAAAAACATCAATAGATTTCCATCAGTGGAAATATTTGACAATCTGAATGCAATTTGAACTCTGCTTTCTTTCTTGGTCATTTCAGTGGGAAAGCCATTGAAAACTATTAGATAAATACAAAACAAATATTTCCCTAGGTTTGCACCTTGGGGAGAAAATTGTAGAGCACAAAACAGGATTTGCTCCCTTGACAGGAGAGGATGACATAGATGGTTGCATAGTCCTTGGTCTTAAATGATGACCTTTCAATGACAAGCATGATAAGGACTCAGAATATAGAAATAAAATGTTCAATAATGTTTCCTAGTAAGGTGTATATAAAGTATTTATAAGCATGAGGCCCCAGAGTGCCCCCTTTAGGTCATAAAAAGACAAAAATCTACATTTTAAGCTCCCTGGGTGAAGGTTAAATTGTTGAAGAATGTTGTGCAGTAGTAATAAATACAGTTTTCTATTTATCTCATTTTTTGTTTACAGCCATCCTTATCCTCTCCATATTGAAATGTGGGAACTTTTAGATTACAACAAGGTAAAATTACATAAGGGATAAAATCAGGGTAAAAAAATTTTTGGAAAGTCTAAATAAGATGTAACCCGAAGGAGGAAAATGACCATAACTCACAACTGTCACTTTCCGCTACTTCAAACTTGGCATGAACTGAGTAAGAACTGGAGGGGAAAAAAACAGCAGCACTAACCCCTTCACTCCCTTGATGTGTACCTTGCTGTTCAGCTGGCAGGGGTCACCCTGATACCAAGTCCCCTGCCTTGCTGCTAGACACAGATTTAAATGCTTCCTATTTTTTAAGGATCTGGACTATTGTACTAGGGTAGCTGCATCCATTTTCAGGTCAACTGTAATATGTAACACTGTTCAAATCTTTGTGCTAAGCCTGCCATCAGCATTTTAAAAGAAAGAGCATTCCCACGAACTTTTCTGGGCAACTAAAAATATCTAGTGATTGAGTATCTTTAAATCCTCATGGTGTTGAGTAATTGTGCACATCTGATTATACTTGAGTTACTTTCTTGCCATATTTATTGTAGGCAGCAGCGAGCGATGGCAGCCAGCATTTTTTTTTTTTTTTTTGTAGACTTCTGGTTCCGTGTGTCTAGGAGAGAGCCCACAGTGAGGGAGGCTCTGAATATAGCCAAGGGGGGCGGGGGGGGGTGGGGGTGTATGGCCCTTAAGTGCTGAGGGGTCAAAGGATTTAGTAAGTGCTGACTTTATTATATTTACACAAATCTTTTTATATATATATATATATTTTATTGATTTTTTTACAGAGAGGAGGAGAGAGGGATAGAGAGCTAGAAACATCGATGAGAGAGAAACATCGACCAGCTGCCTCCTGCACACCCCCTACTGGGGATGTGCCCGCAACCAATGTACATGCCCTTGACCGGAATCAAACCTGGGACCTTTCAGTCCTCAGACCAATGCTCTACCACTGAGCCAAACCAGTTTTGGCAACACAAATCTTATTATATATGTTTTTCTACTTCATTTATGCATTTATTTCTATTTATACAAATTTTACTCCTCCCAAGACCACTGACTTTTTAGAATTCATTTCTCTTTAATACCTGAACCTAAACTTTAGCTCCAAACTCATAGCCAGGCCAAACTCCTCCAAATGATGATAGAGTATTTCATTCACTCAGTGGGTGAGAGGCTCTGACCAAGTTTGGGGGAAGGGGGATGAATTTTTTCCTTGTGAGGCCTGGGTTTGGAATATTGATAACAAGAGCAAAATAAATCCTTATGCTGATAAGTTAGTGGGGACTAAAAAGAGTGACTCTTGAAGGATCCACATCCTAATCAACATTTGCTCAGTTCAGAGGGAACAATTCAGGGGTGGGCAAAAGTAGGTTTACAGTTGTTCATATGGAAAAAGACGTGCAGTTATGGTTATTACAATAGCTCCATTAACTCCAAAGGACGTCAAGTGGTACCGTAAACCTAATTTGGTCCACACCTGTAGAGTTGACCTATGGCTTAATCTGAACAGGACAAATACATAAAACATACCCCTGTACCAGGATTCCCAGAAGCAACCATCTAACTGCCCTGGGCTGCTGCAATGAATGGTAGAAATAATGTAGAAGTGATTATAACAATAGCTTACAGGTACTGTACTTCACAAACAAACACACTGCATCCCCTTGTTACAGATGAGGTTAACCTGCAACATCTGAAAAGACCCTTTTATTATTTTTTAAAATACATCATTGATTTTTTTTTTTTTTTTACAAAGAGGAAGGGAGAGGGATAGAGAGTTAGAAACATCAATCAGCTGCCTCTTGCACACTCCCTACTGGGGATGTGCCTGCAATCAAGGTACATGTCCTTGACTGAAATCAAATCTGGGACCCTTGAGTCTGCAGGCCAACACTCCAGCCACTGGGCCAAACTGGTTAGGACTGAAAAGACGCTTTTTAGATATGAGAACACTGGTGTCGGTGAGTTTATCTTGGGTCTAGCCTACTAGATTCAGAGACCAAGATGGGGATGGTTAAATAGGTGATTTCGGGAATAAGAAATGCAGGATAAGACAGAACAAGGAAGAAGTCTCATACAGCTATGAGTTCAGCTGAAGTCTAGCATCAGCAAGGTCACAGGGAGGGTGTTGGGGTATGAATGGCACCTCAGACTTGGTTGTCCCACTTGCCATAATGAGGCTGGCTTTTCGTACCCCGTTATCAGCCACTGGTTAGCTGCAGAATGCCTGGAGCAGGAGAACACAAGGTCTTGGGCATTTTCCAGAAAGGCAGCTCCCCTGGGTGGGGGCATCTCTGAGAGGGGTGCAGCTCTGTGCTGGGAAAGGGGACCCATGGGTCACCAAGAGCACCTTGCACAGCCGAAGCCAATGCAATTGCTCAGTTGCTAGGATGCAAACCCGAATCTGTTTAAACTCTTATCTCTGCAATGGGTTAGCCCATTTATCCTACTATTTGAAGCTTTATACATTAGTATGTTTTTTCCAGGTCCTGCTTTGGGCCAAACACAATGCTCAGATCTGGAAAGGGAAGTATTCAGACCAGGTGTGGAATGTGGCTTTACCTTCCCATGCCATTCCCCTGTGAGCTGCAGTGGTGGCCTGGGCTGTGCTGCCATGGGGCTGAGAGGTTAATATTCGCTTTGCCTTTTTCTCCTACAGGCGGACGAGATGCAGGACGTGACACATTTTAACTACACTGCGTGGCCTGATCACGGTGTGCCCACAGCCAACGCTGCAGAAAGCATCCTGCAGTTTGTGCACGTGGTCCGACAGCAAGCCACCAAGAGCAGAGGCCCCATGATCGTGCACTGCAGGTAACGTCATCAAACGCAATTTCTGTTAGGCACCTCGACCTTGGTTTTGTTTAAGGGAAATAAGTAAGTCAGAGAAAGACAAGTATCACATGATCTCACTCATCTGTGGGATCTAATGAACAAAATAAACTGCTGAACAAAATAGGTCCCGAGACATAAAAGCATGAAACAGACTGACGAATCTTAGTGGGAATTGGGAGGGGAGGAGGGGGCCGGGGGAAGAGATTAACCAAATAATTTACATGGGTTTATGCATTACCTTTGGACACAGATAATAGGGTGGTGAAGACTAAGGCGGGGGGAGACTAGCAGGGGTCAATGAGAGGAAAAAGGGGACAGTTATAATACTTTCAATAATAAAAATTTTGCCAAAACCGGTTTGGCTCAGTGGATAGAGCGTCGGCCTTCGGACTGAAGGGGTCCCGGGTTCGATTCCGGTCAAGGGCATGTACCTTGGTTGCAGGCACATCCCCAGTGGGGAGTGTGCAAGAGGCAACTGACCAATGATTCTCTCTCATTGATGTTTCTAACTCTCTATTCCTCTCTCTTCCTCTCTATAAAAAAAATCAATAAAATATATTATTAATAATAATAATAAAATTTTAAAAATAAATAAATAAATATCAGAATGCTTAACAAAACTAAACTAAAAAAAAGAAAGAAAGAAAAAAGTCCATCAGTCCATTAACTCCTGATCAGATTGAATTAATAAAATGAATTATGATTTTTTTTAAATTTTTATTATTAACACATGTCTTCCTAGACACGTTATTTACTTATAATATGGCCATCTTTTTTTTTTTAATATATTTTATTGATTTTTTACAGAGAGGAAGGGAGAGAGAGAGAGAGCTAGAAACGTCGATGAGAGAGAAACATCGACCAGCTGCCTCTTGCACACCCCCTACCAGGGATGTGCCCGCAACCAACGTACATGCCCCTGACCAGAATCAAACCTGGGACCTTTCAGTCTGCAGACCGACGCTCTACCACTGAGCCAAACCGGCTTCAGCAGAGCCAAACTGGCTTCGGCTAATATGGCCATCTTATATTCCCTAAGATAAATATGATTATTCTCCTTTTAAAATGAAAAAAGCTGAGGAATAGAGAAGTCAAGGGGTTCACACAAGTTTATGCAACTCGAACCTGGAGGAGTTGGGGTTCAGGCATTCTCCACAGCCATGACTTTAAGCACTGCATGGTCTTACCCGATCCCATCAAGGACTCTGAATGGTTTATAAAATGACCAAATGCAAGGTCAAGTTAAAAATAGCTAACCACAGCCCCGAATAATATAAACAGACATAAAAGCCAGGTGAGGGAAAGGAGAAATGAGAAAGTTCAGCACATTGAGATAAACAGATTTGCTATGATTGCTCTTCAAAATTGGCTTTAAATTTCCAGACAGTTCAACTGAAAGGGGTCCTTATGACCTACTGTATTAGCAAAAATCGAGGACCCTGTTAATTCCTTATCTGAGAAGTTATCTTTGAACTTAAGCTTTATTCCTACCAAGTGAGCAAAGCTTCACCAAAATCCATTGGTGTGACATATTGTAAAATTTTTATGCAATCTCTGAAGAGCAGGGGCTATAAACATGCTCATATTGTATGTCAGAGAAGTAAGATAAAGATCTTAGAGGAATCACTGGCAGCCACATCAACATAAGCAAATCCTATATAATAAAATGCTAATATGCAAATTGTCCCCTTGATCAGGAGTTCTATTGGGAGTTGGACCAGGAAGTGGGATCATGGTCCTACCCCCTGGCTGCCCTCCCTTTGATTCCCCCACACACTCGATTGAGGGTGGGGCCTGCAGCCAAAGGCCCACGTCCCCTCTTCCAGGCCAGCCTGGCCTTATCAGCCCTAACCAGGGCATGCTGGCCGGACCCCACCCGTGCACAAATTTGTGCTCTGGGCCTCTAGTAGATCTATAATCCTGGACCTACCTAGCACCTGGGCCTCTGTGAACTAGAATGAGTAGAGTGTGTGTATGTGTGTGAGAGAGAGAGAGAGAGAAGAGTATGTGTCTCCCTGCACAGAAAAATGCTTCAAAAGTTGTCAAGTTTCTGATCAGGGAGAGGACCCTTGCTGTCAGTCCATCATAGGCATTCACAAGTTAAAAACTTTGCTTCACCAGATGAAAATGATCTAGTCTCCCAATGGTTCCTTCCAAGAGCCGAAAGTGAAGCTGCTCAACTGTGTTTTCAAACTCACAGTCCCTTTCACAGCAGGTAGCAGGGACAGTTCTGGATGTGACTTTACAGGTGTTCACCCAGGGACAGAACATAAAATAAGTCCTGGGTGAGAAGGGTTGTCCAGAACAAAAGGCAAACTAGGACTCTAAGCTACAGGCTTTTACTGTTGGATTTCTCTCCCAGCAAGTTCTGCAGAGAAATCAATTTTGGCTTCCTCTTTTCTCACATATGATAATTCAGAGTTTGGAAACATGTTGCCCTGCCGTCTGCATGACTGGAAGAAAAGAAAGGCTGACTTAACATGTACAATTGTGCTGGGCAATTGCTCAGCACAGATCACTCCACTTCCCTCTACTCTCTATGGGCACTAGGATTTGGGGGCTGTAATGAATGAGGTCCAAATGTTAAATTTGATTTTTGAGGCAACTACCTATAAGATTACTGAGGGATGGGAGCAGACCTAGAACTCACTGGAAGGGAGATGTGCTGTAAGGAAAGTCTGAATGGTGAACTCAACCCAGGGTTGAAGGCACACAAATCGGTCTGGCCCAGAGCTGGAGCTAAGGAGTGGGCATCTCAGCTAGACTTCTGAGCTGGGTGTGAGGCTTAACTCTGAGGCTACTCAGAAGACTGAAATTGTTTATGTGTCTGGCTCCCCGAGGGAAGGAACCAACTCTCTTGCCAGGTCCATGGGCACTTCTTACCTTTTTCAGGAGGAGAGAGAGGTGTGGCTCAGACAAGTGTAGACCCATACCTCTTTTTTTCTTAATGCTCACCTGAGGACATTCTTAAAGAGAAAGGAGAGAGAGAGAGAGAGAGAGAGAGAGAGAGAGAGAGAGAGAGAGATGGAAAGTGAGAGAGATAAGAAACATTGAGTGGTTGCTTTCCATATGTGCCCCAACCAGGGATCGAACCCAAAACCCAGGTATATGCCCTGATGAAGAACTGAACCAGCAACCTTTCGGTGCACAGGATGATGCTCAACCAACTGAGTCACTCTGAGTAGGCCAGACCCATGCTTCTTTAAGAGCAGCAGCAGTGATAGTCAAATGTGATATTAGAAGCCACACCAACCACAATTGCATGGTTAACATTGAGTGGAAAATATTCTCAGGAGTTTTGTCTTCCCTTTTTTCTCAATGGTGCTACCTGCTTTGTTTTTTCATCGCCAATCTGTTTCCCACTGTGTGGAAGCGTGGTGTGAGTAACGTACTGTCTGCATGCTCTTGCAGCGCTGGCGTCGGCCGGACGGGAACGTTCATCGCCCTGGACAGGCTCTTGCAGCACATTCGGGAGCACGAGTTTGTCGACATCTTAGGGCTGGTGTCAGAAATGAGGTCATACCGGATGTCCATGGTACAGACAGAGGTAGGGCTGTAATCAATCGGTATCTATAAATTTGACCTTGACTGTAAAAAAAACTTTCGATTATTTCATCTCCTGTTTCAATCTTGCATCTGCTATTTCCAATTTCTTATTGTGTTACATTCGAACTGCTTCAAGGTACAGGAGAAATAGATATTTGTTTCTAAAATCCGTTCAGTGTGCAGTGCTTGTGCTTTTATTGGTGTCATGTGCCCTTTATAATTTAGAGCACACGGATGCGGGGGCCTGGTGCAGCAAAAGCCAGATCTCCCTTTTTCTGTGTCCAGCACGGAGAGATGAACAAACCAGTTGTAAGTGGAGGCAGCCAGGGATTGAGAAATAATAGAAAGAAAGAAGATGCAGAGATAGATTTTTAAGCTGGGAGCTGGGTGGGACGCCATCCTCTCTGATGAAGAGGCAGGACAGGACCACAAGACCCTGTCCCCTCCCAGCACATTTATTTTATATCCCCAATACCAGGAAGTATCACTAACTTATTTGCATTCTTAAATAGGCCCTAGTATGCCTAAATTTACATATCTAGTCCCGCTCCTGTGACACCTGGGCTGATAGTAAGTCAGAACTGACAATATGTCCAGCCTTATTGGGGAAGTATGTTTCCACGGTATAGCTCTGCCTATTGCCCTGAGTTCAGCTGATGATAATTAAAGAAAATGCCCATGTGCCTTCCCAAGTGCTGTCTACACAAGGATCTATCCATAATGGACTAAAACCTCTTTGAACAGAGAGTTCAGGGCAGCCAATCAGGGGAAATGCCACTGAGTGGACACTGTGGGACTGATGTGATTTCACCTGCATTTGAAATGCTACATTTGATTCAAAAGTGTGTCACTAGTTTGTCCACCGCGTGAGTCTCTGTCCCAATTCATTTTAGATAAGGATCAGGGATAGAACTCACATTTTCTGTCTCCCTTATGATTTTAAGGATCCCAACCTACCAACACTTCCAATTCCCTTGACCTAAGTAAATGGCTATAGCATTGAAACAACATGGTAGCATCCCTAGAAACATCCATCTATCCATCTCCTCTCCCCCCACCCCGCCCCCACCTCCTGGAAGCCTGGGAATGCACATGCAGCCTGGGGCCAGCAGACAGCCTCACACCACTTCACAGCCATAGTGGGTGTGCACCTGCGTGGGCCTCAAAAAAGCAAGCATCATCGCTTGTTCATAGTCCTAGTTACCCAGCCCTACCCGAAGCTTCTCAGCTTCAGGTGTAGAGTCATCTCTTTTTATGAAGGTGTTTGTGTGGGTGGGACAGAGTAGAACACATCCTGGCCAGACTTCTTACTCTAGTTCCAAGGGATCCAATGCGCCTTGGTCTTCCTCATGCTGTTCATGCGAATCACCACTAGATGTCAGTATAACTCAAAAGCCTGCAGTAATGTCTACGGTCAAGGCTGGGGCCGGAGTCTCCTTCACCATCCCTTTGATTTCTCTCTCCTGCATCCCCACTCCCATCTGAGCAAGGCTTGGCACAGCCGTTCCAGTGTGTTTCTTTCTATGCCAAAGCAGGAAAAGCACTGAGGAAAAGCAACCCATTCACATTCAGCTCTCAAGCGTGATGAGGAAGTACTCATGCATGTGTCCTCACTTCCTTAGCCTCCCACCCCAGCCCTGCTGCCTTGGATTTTACTGCTGTAGGGACATGGACGTGGCCTTGTTTAAAGTGCCCTGGATTCCCAGAGAAACCTTACTACCTAATGAGTAAACAGTTCTTCATGGATGGGTCCATATGTTTGCCTTTCACTTCCATAAATGTATACTACATCCTAATATATGACTGAAACTCCCTATGTGTGCATTAATCCCCAGCTTCAAAGGGCTGCCCCTTATTTTAAGTATTTTGGATTTGATCAGTTGTCTGCCACAGTGACCTAATTTAAAGCTTTTAGAACTTTGATTATAGCCTGTTGGCTTTTGACTTTCCCAGGACAGAGCCCTAATCCCTTTTTAAAAGCTACCTTCCCCCTGGCAGACCCTCCATCTGATTCCACGCCAGGATCTTCACGAGGGCTGCCATGTGTGTCGCCGCCACAAGGCTGAGGAAAATGTTGTTCTCCCCCGAACTTCCCTGCCCCAAACTTCGGGTGTTTGGCTTCTTTGTTTACAGCAGCATTTTAAGTTGCTCTCTCCGGGGAATCAGTCTTTTCTAAGGACGGTATCCCTTCCATGCACTCTGGTGGGAAAACGCAAAGTCAGCAGAAGAGGCGAGGTCAGCCCTGGTTACTTATTTTCCCCAACTGCTCCAGCTTCGTTCTTGAGTTCCCTCGGGATTTTGCAGCGGGTCTTCTCTAGCTCAGCTCTTTATTTGTGTTGCAACATCTTGTCCATTTCCCTTTGTTGTTCCTCGGTGTTGCCCTCTTTGAGATGCAACCTGTGTTTTCAATGTTAGGATTTTCCTAGCATCCTCCGAACTTGAGCCCATTCACACCCCAGGCCTGCTGCCTTCTGCTTTGCTGCCAAATAAGTCAAGAGCAGAGGGGAACACGGTTTTCTTCAGCTTTCCCATCCTGGGGCACCCTGTGACACTGACGATTTTCAAGAGGCGGGGATGAACCCCAGCTGATCTCTGGCTCTGTGTATGTCCATGGACCACCTGCTTATATTGTGAACCAGGCTTCTTCCCGTGGCCCGTTAACTGCCCATCACCTGGATTCAATCACCCAACCCCCTTCTAAAATAACGTTAAGTACTTCCAGTCCCACCGCAAAAGCAGAAGGTGCATGGGGGTGAGAGGCTGTGCTCTCCCCTAAAAACAAGTAAATGCAAAGAGTAGAAGTAACTGATTGTGTTGGTCATGTCCTCAGATGCACACAGCCTGTGGCAAGGGCTATTTCTAGCATGCCCTCTTCCCCTGTCTCACTGACCCCCCCCCCCCCCCCCCCCCCCCCCCCCACCCCCGGACCCACCACTCCTCCCATGGCTGCTCCCCAGAGCAGCAAAGGGTAAAGAGAGGAGGGTTGTCAGGCCAGCCCATGGAGAAGGCCGGGTCCCGCATGGCCACGGCACAACTCACACCACCTCTCAAGCTCCAGTCCTCATCTGTAAACTGTGAGTGACAATGTTCACTTTCTGTGAAATGACGGATCTAGCGAAGTGCTTCCAGCTGCCAAGTGTCATGTGGGGAGGACATGCGCCTCCCTGGGGCTCTCTTCTATTTTTATCAAATGCTTTGTTTGATTTTCCCCTAGCGGACTTTTGCTGGAGGGCAGGTAGGGCTTTGCTTTTGTAGCCTGTCCTGATTGGAACTTAGATTTCTCAGGGACCTCAGGGACCTGCCCATAAAGAGTCTTTATTTACTTTTCCTGTGGTCTAGCCACTTTTTTTTTCTTTTTCTTTTTTCCTTTTTTTGAGGCAAAGTTTGGCCACTGATTAGTTTTGGGTTGAGAAAGCAGGTGACCAGGTGTCTGCCTTATTAGGCCCAGTCGCTGACACAGCCCTAGAAGCAATGGGGTGATGTGCAATAAGGAGTCAGGGGTAGCTTAGTTATTGATGAGATACTATCTCTAAACTAAAAAAGGGCCTATATTTTCTCTCAATCTCATTGAAAATTTCAGGTGAGGCTGAAGAATCAACCCAGTGAGGTTCGAAGTCTTAACCTTACCCTTTGTATAAAGTTGTCATACAAAATGCTCAAAATCCTGTGGACACCTTGACTGGTTCTTATGGGAAGGTTATTTCTAATGGTATTCCGTATGGAGACACTCTGGGAAATGAAGAAAAAAGAGAAAGATCATGATGTTACCTTGATTTTATGTTAAAAGACAGCTACTCTCAATATTTCAGCATATTTCATCCTGCCTTCCTTTAAGAATAACTTTCACACAATTATACTTTATCCACTTAATATTTTCCTATGTGTATTATCCCAAATTGCCCAAAATTATATAAATTTCATTTTAGAGACTGGATGTTTTATTATAGATATACCATTGATTACTTAAACCATTCTTCTTTGTACAGGATATTAAATTGGATTCTTTTCCACTTTATTACTATTATCTGTGTTCACAATGAAATTTTTAGCACTTTATGAATTATGCCTACACTAACAATACCTAAAAATGACTGATTCCACAAAATTGTCATCAATATTACTTTTTTCTTTAGCCTTGGTCACTTTATAGATGAGAGACAACTGTTTCAATTTACATTTTTATTACTTGGCCATTTTTTGCATATGTTTGTTTTTTTTTTATAAGTTGTGCTTTTTTTAAAAAATATATATATATATATTTTATTGATTTTTTACAGAGAGGAAGGGAGAGAGATAGAGAGCTAGAAACGTCGATGAGAGAGAAACACCGACCAGCCGCCTCTTGCACACCCTCTACCGGGGGTGTACCCGCAACCAACGTACGTGCCCTTGACCAGAATCGAACCTGGGACCTTTCAGTCCACAGACCGACGCTCTACCACTGAGCCAAACTGGTTTCGGCAGATTTTTTGCATATGTTTTAAAATGTCTTTAGTTTCCTTCAAAAACACTTAATAGGCACTAGAAGTAAAAAACACATAATCCACTCCTTCCAAGAATATTTGGTTTGGTGATCAATGTATTTTATTTATATAGTTGTCCATGTAAGTGTTTGTTACTGTTTTGAATTTTAAACAAAAATAAAGGTATAATCATTGTAATAATTTTAGAAAATATTTTTCCTTCCAATTTCTAGTTTTCCCTTTATATTATCCTTTTCACTTTTAAAAGAAAACATACAGTAGGTTGAAAGTTTTATTTCTAATTTATTCCATGGCTTTGAAGTTGAAAAAATCCTTTCATAAAGTAATCAGAGAGGAATTAACCTATATTTTCCTTTATATTTTTATAAGTTTAATTTATTAAACATTTTGGCATTTATTTTGGTATAGTGAGGTGATAGCCTTTTTTTTTTAAATAGTCCATCAGATATACACTGAATATTTATTGCCTTTAGCTCTATTATTATTCAAAATATTTTTCCAGTTGATTCTCTTGGTATTTCTAGTTACAAAATTGTCTCCTACCTAATAAAAATGTGTTCTTTAGACATCGGATCATAATATTTCACAATGTCATCGTATCAACACACTATCTCTGCACATATCTGTACAAAAAACATCTCTCTCTGACACATGGCCTGCTTCTGCCGCAGGAGCAGTACATTTTCATCCATCAGTGCGTGCAGCTGATATGGACGAAGAAGAAGCAGCAGTTCTGCATCAGTGACGTCATCTACGAGAATGTCAGCAAGTCCTAGTCGGAATCTGGACCAGTGAGTAGGGAAGTGCCCTTCGAGGGAGGGACAGGATGGGTTACAGCGAAAGGCAGCAGCAGCCACTTGTTCGACTCTGACCCCACAGAGGTGGCCAGGGGAGGTGGGCGCAGGGTGAGACGGGCACTGTAGCAGATCTTAGTGCTTCAGTAGGCCTTGGTTGGTGGGTGTGGCATGAAGGCACTTCGGCAGCTCATGATCATTTGACCTCTAACCTTTCCACTCTGAACCTTAAATTACTCTGATTTTGGCTCTGCCTGTAACATCAGGATAGTATCATCCACCCTATTTATGTAGACATCTTGTGCAAGTAGTTTATTGATTACAAAAGGGTCATAAAAGGACTACAAAGAAGACATGAGCTGGAGTGAACACCCCAAAGAATAAAATATTGACAGTAGTTCAGGATAGCAGAGTCTAGAAACACCTTGATCTTACCCATTATAAGCACTTACTTGAGAATGCCTTGAATACGTTAGTAACATAGCCAATGTCATGTGCTCAAATTTTTAACAGAAGGTCATATTTTAGTTGTGTACGTAACTGGCTCAAGTAATAAGCAAACTGCCCATTCAACTCAGTAAGCCAAGTGTGGACTGTGTCTGAATGTACTAAGGGGGCAGGACCATGGACTGGGTGGGAAAGGACAGGGTGCATTGTGGGAAAAATGTGGAAGAAGTAGTATATGGACCTCTGAGTAGCAGGATTGAACTAGCTTCTTCGTACCTTTATATCCATTAAGAAAAAGACAAAAAGCACAAGGAGGCAGGAAGAATAAAGAATAAGGAAAGAGAGCTCGGCCATTGTGGCTCAATGGTAGAGGATCAACCTATGAACTAGGAGGTCACAGTTAGATTCCTGGTCAGGGCACATGGGTTGCAGGCTTGACCCTCAATGTGTGTGTGTGTGTGTGCGGTATTGCCGGTTCAATTTTCTTGAAGTAGGATCACCATTTCTTTACATGCGGCCATGCCTCCTTCTAACAATGAGGTATAATTTTAGACTAACAATGGGGGGGGGGGGGGGAAGGCATGCAGGAGGCTGCCGATCAATGATTCTCATCAACGATGTTTCTCTCTCTCTCTCCAACTTTCTTTCTCTCTTAAATCAACAAAAAATTGTGTTTGTTTTTTTAAAGGAATATGGAAAGAGAGACAAGTTTGCAGGTAGAGGGAAAGAGGTTCAGATCCACAGAAAGTAGGACTACACAGAGAAAGCAGCACAGATAAACCACGTCTGCCCGGGCTGTGGGGTGAATGTAATGAGAGCGAGTGGTGGAGTCAGAGGAAGGGACTGTACTTCCGGCCACAGGGCTGATGGTGGGCAGCTTTGCCCTCCCAGCCTGCTTACTGTTCCTCTTCCTCTCGTTCGCAGAACAGGACCCGGTGTGCGCCCATCCTCCCTTGCTTCCAGAGTGTTGAGGGGCTTCTGCTAGCCATTTTGCCAAGAGGAACCCCTGCTTTATCATATGTGGCCAACGAGATGGTGTATCTTATAGAAGCACCGGGAAGACTAAGCCTTAAAGAGCCTACAGTGTCTTTTGGACTCTTTCACTGCTGGACACTTAAGAACAAACCAAATTCAACAGAACACCCGGAGGTCCAGACGCTCTGCGGAGAGCAGGAAGCACAGCCCCTTCCCAACAGTTTTGCTGGCCTGTCTCTGGTTGGGCTGAGTTTCTTGTTGCTGTTTTCAAGTGCAATGATTTTTGTCTGTGTATGATTTTATCAGAAAGTTGAATTGTTTCCTGCTCACACAATTTGATCAAGCCCATAGCCCAGGAAGGAAAGGCATTGTTAGTCTAAAATTATACCTCATTGTTAGAAGGAGGCATGGCCGCATGTAAAGAAATGGTGATCCTACTTCAAGAAAATTGAACCGGCAATACCCACACCCCAACACTGATCTATGGGGTCAGGAGCAGGGAGGGTGGACTAGGCAAGAGAGAGAGGTTCTACCCAGAGACCAGCCACCTATGTTTTCCAAATACGATAAAGCTGGGATTCAGCTTCAAAGTAGAGTAGAAAAAAAAATATTTCATTCTTAATTGTTCTAGTTCTTGATGGTTTTTCTTCCGCATTAACAGTCGAGTGTTTCTTCCTTGGCCCTCTTGGACTCATGTCGCCAGCCTGGTTCCTTTCCCACAAACCAGATCTGTTTCGAAGAGTCGGAAGTCTGACTCTTCAGACGCCGCAGTGATCTGAGCAAGCTGCGTGCCTATCCTCTGCATTGTTTTTTTTTTTTTCACACATGAGGAGCGATTTCTGTGAGAACCACATCGGACGTGAGAACCGCACTTTCTTTCCCCCAAACAGCTGGGAGTTTCTGAAAAGACGGCCATGAACTGCAGCACGCCAGGACACTGGCTGCCACCTTTTGTTTGTCTTTTAATTGTCAAGTGTCCCTGTGAATATCAACAGAGATTTCTCTTTGTTTTCTGGGATTTTTTGTTGTCGTGGCTGTTGTCAGTTTCATTTTCATCCGTGTAACCGGTAACATTTTATCCCACGCTTTAGGGTTTGTGTAATTCCAGTACATGATTGCATATCGTGACATGAACGCTGTCCAAATGGCCCCTGATGGCCCCGTGGAGCCTGTCCCTTTGGGTTCCTGAGGAATAAGAGCTGACGGTGTGCAAAGGAAAATCTTTTGAAAAGGAGAGGACAAGCAAGCCGGCTGCGTCCTCGTGTTGGTGTGGCTGGGCACTGGGCCGGGCTGGCCCTTCTCTGCGTGTGGAATCAGTGCCCCTTGCCCTGGCCTCCCTCCATTCCTGATCATCTTCATGGAGCCATGAGCACAGGATGAGCTTAATATTTCATCAGTGACCTTGGGGATGGCGAAGGGTGCCAAGTGAACAGCTCTGCACCCCACCGTCCTGTCACTGAGAGGGCCTGCCCAGCAGAGCTTGGCGCAGTTCTCGGCGAGTCCTGGCCAGTGAGGCTCAGGTTCCTCTCGCAGGGGGGCGGCAGGGGTGCCCACGGCCTGCAGGTTGGCAGCTCGGGCTCCCAGGCTTGTCAGTTACACTCGCCTCCCTTCCTCCCCTCCTTGCCACCCTGCACCACCGCCCCTTCTCTCCTCGCCCCTGTCTTTGCCTTCTTGGACACGTGCAGAATGCATCGCTCCTTTCTCAGGTACACACACTGCTAAGGAACCGTGGCCCTTGGAGGCGCGTCATCGGTAGGTTTTTCACACACAGGCAGGTCCCGAGGGAGGTGTGCCACCTCGGATGAGCCGATTAGACGCCTGGGTGTGCCGGAATCCATTTCCAATTTCCGTAGGCGGCAGGAACATCCCTTCCCCTGAAACCTAAAGCACGGCATAAATATTTCACGTTTTCCTCCAGCGCCCCTTCGGGGAGGGATCAAATAGTACCAGATCGCTTTTCCCAAAAGAGAAGATGAAATATCCAGACTTGAGACGGGAGGACGCGGAGTTTAGGTGACAGGAGGGTCACACACACCAGACTTTTCCGGGTCTCGTTCCTCAGGCTCTCTGTCCATCCCTGCCCCCGTCTGGGCACACTGCTCGCCTCAGTTTGTGAGCAGGGGATGAGGAAGCATCGGCCTGTCGGAAGACTGGGGTTTTACTCTTGACTTTGGAACTCCTCTCTCCTGAGTCTCAGTCAATAAACTTTTGAAAAACCTAAACACAGCTCTGTATTTTGAGGGTGTGAAGAGTATCAGGTGGCATAACCCCCCAGAGGCGGGGTTATTGTACCTGGTTCTTTCACGGATCCTAAGGCCACTCTGAGCAGCTTCATTTCCACCGCAGGACTCAATGCTAAGCATTCAGAGGGGAGGCTGTTGGGGCCTCCGTGTTAGGGATTAGTTTTTAAAAGCCATTTCTGTGCTGTTTTTACTGAACACAGAGGCACTGGCCCACAGGGCTTCTAACCGTCTACAGAGTATAGAAGCGATTTCTGAAGTTAACAGAAACACTACCATGAGGGCCGATTTACAAGTTGAATAGTTAACACCAACATAGCTAGCACTGCACATTGTATGATTTTTTAAAAATATATTTTCTTGATTTTTTACAGAGAGGAAGGGAGAGGGATAGAGAGTCAGAAACATCGATGAGAGAGAAACATCGACCAGCTGCCTCCAACACACCTCCTACTGGGGATGTGCCTGCAACCATGTTACATGCCCTTGACCGGAATCGAACCTGGGACCCTTCAGTCCGCAGGCTGACGCTCTATCCACTGAGCCAAACCGGTTTCGGCAACATTCTATGATTTTATTCAACTTGAAAGAGAAAGAAAGTGATAGAGAACAGCATTTTTTTTTATATATATATATAGAATGCTAATTCAGGTGGTACAATTTTCCACTCCAAAGTCGGCATTGCCCCTACCTACTGCCCTGCATTTAGAATGACAAAAGTTAGTAAGAGTTCAAAAAATCTCCTATAAAAATCTAACCTCTTATAAACGTTTAACCAGATTTTATAGGGTCTCTCTTTTTTCTAAAAGCTGTCCCTGCCCCTCCCAAGGCGTGCATTTCTGACAGAAGGCCGCGGTAACAGCAGGGAGAGTGGGGGAGGGAGGCCCTGGATCTGGATTTTTTTTGCAGACCATATGATAGCTGCTTGCTAGAGGCTTGGGCCTCAGCCAACGAGTTCAGATTACTGAATCCAATCTCCAAGAGCCAAAATCCTCCCTGCTTTCTAGCAAGGAGGCCTTCCTCTCCGCCTCAGGAAACGTCTGATGTAATGCGCTTCAAATGAGCTGGCCCGGTTCCTAGCTCACAGATCACCGCTCTGGTACTTGGCACGAGCTCAGAGTCCAGAGGCCATACCTGGGACTCCACACAAGACCCACGTTGGCCAAAGGGGTTATAAAGAAACAAAAAAACAACACATGCAAAAAATGGCCAGCGTCTGCCCCTGGTTTCCTAACAGCCCCGTGTGGATGCATTTGAAGGAAATGTAAGCCAGGGCCTCCCTGGAACCCGGCCTTCCAGAACAGCGAGACTTTGTGTTCCATTTCAACTGATGCTCATCGCCAGGCCCGATCCCCCGGTGTCACTCCCTTCAACGCTTAGCTCTGGGAGTTGCATTCTAGGAGGGACCTGAACGCACAGAAGGTTGTCCAGGACAGGGTCACTACAACCATTAGGGAAGATGTTGAAAACAACAAGTCATAGTGACAGCATGTGGGGAAAGTGAGGGTGTTCGTAAGGATATCATCCATTCAGTCAGCCAGTCCTTGTACAAATGTTTGTTTACCTGATCATGGTGAATAAATGAACCCATCAACCAAGGAAAGAGCTCATCACCACTCGCAATATACTAGGCACGAGAAGCACAAATGGTGCTATGTCCTGGTTTTTAAAAATGTGTTATGGAATCAGAGTTTCGTTGCTGTTTTTGTAAGGACACACACACACACACACACACACACCAAAAAAGTCTTTTCTAAGACTCGGTGCCTCTTCCTCGATGAGAAATTCCAAGCTAGCCTACCCTCTTACTCAAAACACACCCCTGGCAGATGGCTGACTCTCTCCTACTGAGCACTTTCAGAGTGAGGAGCTGCCACCTCCCAGGGCAGCCCAGCCCCTCACTTGTCAGAGAGCATTTCCTCCGTCTACGCAGCCAAGCACTCACCGCTGAGGCTCTGTGTCCACGCTTCTCGGGGCTACAGGCTGAAACCCAAGTCTACTTCCGCTTTCGGGAACAGGGCAGGTGCAGTGCGCATGCCACTGCCAGGGCATGAAATTTAATAATCAAATTGAAGCTGCCCAGAGCTTTCAACAGAGGCCTGGTTTTGCTTTTAAGCATTTACACCTGACTCCCAGAGGAGACATGGTGGGTGTGTTGTTTTTTTTTTTCCTCCTAATGCACTGGTCAGCAAACCTCGGCTCGAGAGCCACATGCGGCTCTTTGGCCCCTGGAGTGTGGCTCTTCCACAAAATACCACGTGCGGGAGTGCAGGTACATGCGATTGAAACTTCGTGGCCCATGGGCAGCAGGCCTGGGCGAGTCTGTGTTGAAGAAGTGGTTCCAACGCCGAGCCACACTCAAGGGGCCAAAGAGCCGCATGTGGCTTGAGAGCCGTGGTTTGCTGACCACTGTCCTAATGCGATAAACTCTTTATATGCATATTCTCTTAATTTATTAAGAGTAGCCATTTAGAAGCAGAAGAAACAGAGAAGCAATTAGGTTAAGTAAATTGTAACAACCACTCGGGGATACCCACCTAGCTCTGTCTAGTCAAAATACCCCTTTCCCCCGCTTCATGCTGCTTCTCATTCATAGTTCCCATTGATGACCTAAAATGGAATAGAATAGCTTCATTTTAGGTAATGTGTTTAATAGAGAGGGTCGTTTTCAATGCTAGCAATATGACATCCCTAACCCTCGAAGGAAGTAATTTTACTCAGCATCCTATGCCAGGGACTGTAGGCGGGGCCGGGCTATGAAGAAGGATGAGACCGGGTCCTAGCTTTAAGGCGTCAGCATCCTCGTAGGGAAATCAGAAGTGAAATCACAGGCAGCAAGGTGTTGCAGATGCCGCGACAGAAACACACAACACGTCCCATGGAGGCCCGGGAGAAGGACGGCGAGTCTCTTCTGGAAGGTCCAGGAGAGGCTGTCCTGCCACAATCAGGTGTGAGAGACTACGGAGCTATAATACATTAAAGAGCACCAGTGATGCACTCTCATTCCTGCTGTCAGCACACACTCACCGAACACCCACCCCTCGGGCCCCAGCCCAGCGGTGACCAAACCGACAGCCCTGCCTGATGAGGCTTTTCTTCCGCGCTGACGCCAGAGTGACGACTTCTTTCCAGCCTCCCCAGATGCTCATGGGTTACTCTGCAGACCCCCCCATGCCCCCTCTCCTGGGTTTACTGTGATTGCAAACGTAACAGTGCACATTGGGGCCACGTCTGGCAGGTGGGAGGTAAGCTGAAGTAAGACTTCATACCCTGGCCCCTCTCCCCTGCAATTCACTCCATCTCCTCCCCTCCCATCCCCCACCCCCTCCCTCCACCCCCGTTACAGAGATAGTAGCGCCAAAAAGATGGAAGGAGCCTGGGTCCCTGAGTCACCTGCAGGAAGAAGACCTACCTGCTGAGCATGACGTGATCAAGGAACACATTTCTGTCACGTTGGCACTGAGCTGCCGGTCTTGTCAGCTCTGGCCATCGGTCTGCCCTGAAGTAATACGGCAGTTAAAGGACACCTTTACAACCAGGTTCGGTCTCAGGGACAGTGGGAGTTCTTCGGGGCAGTGGTGTGTGACTATCCAAAAAAAAAATTCTCAGAGAACAGGCGAGCGTTGAAACAGATCAGAGATGGGCTAACCCACAATGCAAACAAGGACTCAGGAAAAGGCCACAGAACAATGATGGTTCTTTGAATAAATAAACTTTTCTCTATTAAAATATATGCAGGCTTCTCTAGAAGTGGATTTCCTCCAAGTTGGATATCTCT